AATTTCGAAGGTAAAAAATTACATGCTTTTTGGAGTAAACTTCTCCCTTAATCCTTCACATCCTAACATCAGTATGCATATTTTCCATTTCTTATAGATGTTACTGACGAAGCTGATTTGTTTAACAATCGAGAGATTCTTTCAGTTGCGATCATTTCCCATATTCTCGTGATGTTTGATTTAGAAGCGATACTGTAAGAAGAAATAAGATGCATGAGACAGTACTGAAGTGCCTCCTTTTTTCGACAAGTTTAGATTAATTTTGATAACTTAAAAAAATGCTTTAAGTGTTCTATTCTACAAACAAGTAGAAAAACTGCTGACACAGAGAGCTCAGCATTGATTAACATGTTAATTCTCCCTATAATATCCATACTTTATCTACCAGACAGGTATTGAGAATATGAAAACTTATCAAGTAGAAGTTATTTTGATCTAACACAAAATTCTCGTGACTAGTTTGCAAAGAAATGTGTAGCAACTGGAGGGAGAATTAACAATCAGATCTTGGCAAAGCGCTCAAAGCGCTTTGCATGTCATTGCAATTGAGTGCAGAGTAGGTTCAAATTTCAAAAACAAGAGCGTGCTAGCGATAAAACCTGTTAACTCAACTTTAATTTCGTCTTCTTTCAGACTATGATTGGGCCGGACAACAGAAATTCCACTGTAGTGGTTCCCTTATTTCTCGTCAGTGGGTTTTGACTGCCGCTCATTGCTTTTTTAAAAAGGAGAAAAACGAGGTCCGAAGACTTACCAGCCCGTCCTCGTGAGTTGCAGACCAACTGATCTTTTCCCAGTCAACGCATCCATATATTCATTCAACCATCCATCTGTTCGTTATCCATTCAAATGCTTATCCTTTTCCTTTTATTCCTTCCATCCATCTTGCCATTCACCTCGCCCATCAGTTCCTCCATTCGTTGACAGTTGATCCATTCGCCTTCCATCAACCCTTCCGTGGGTCTGTCTGTCTTCCTGTCTAATATCACCATGCTCTGATTTTTATTCATATACTGATCATTATAGTGTTATAGTTAGATCAAACAAAACGATATAAGTTCTCTGTACGCAAAAAAAAATTATAATTCAGTTGAAAGTTCCTCGTTCAAAAGTTATGCATTAAGGATATTAGTAAGTGGAAGTTTGGATCATTTAATCCGGCCTTTTCTTGCACCACTTTTGTTGGTATTTTTCCCCTATTCTTCAGTGTATTCCAAGCTCATGTTTTTCTTGTTCTCGTGTGTGACAGAAAGTGGGCCATCAAAAAATAAAATGTTTTTTCGCTGTCGGTCTAAAAGCTACTGAAATCAGTACCGCAAAGTTCTCGTTTTGATTCTGACGCAAAATAGTGTAATGTCACACCTATTCTTATAATATTCTCAGATACGTTTTGTACGCTGGTGTCCATAACTTAACAAGGAAGGGAAATAAAGAGACCACGCAAGAAAGAAAACCTAAGAAAATAATTCCTTATGACGACGATTTTGACTTCAGCTCGTTCCGAAATGATATAGCTCTTGTGAAAGTCGAGCCGCCGTTTGAATTGAAAGCGTTTGTGCGAACTGTGTGTTTGCCTGAGAAGGGTGAACCAGATTTGGCAACTCCTGGCAATTACGGCACAGTGGCGGGATGGGGAGGAACAAAACATGTTCCAATTGGAAAAAGGGCTAAGACTCTCGACTCATCAGAAGTGCTGAAACATGCTTCTTTTCAAATCCAAGATGACCGGTTGTGTAAGAACAAAGCAAGCCTTAAAATCGACTCTGCCATAACATTTTGCGCAGGGGATGGTAAGGGCAAAAATGACACTTGCCAAGGAGATAGCGGTGGAGCATACGTTCGAGATACAAAAGTAGAAAATGGCAAACGCCTTGCATGGGTCGCCGCTGGTATTGTAAGTTGGGGCGATGGATGCGCGGTTAAGGGGCAATACGGATACTACACTAAAGTGCATCCATTTATCGACTGGATAAAGCAAAAAATGAAACAATATAAAGATTAGAAAAATGTTCAAGTTTTTATTGAAATTGAGTCAACCTCCAACCCATTGGTTTTGCATAGCTTCGCCCACGATGAGTTGTTGCTTGTTTTAGGCTTTTACTGTTCCCTTTTGACGATTCTTTTTTACTAATGGGCCACAGTGATTACTTTGTTTTGTAGACTTGCTGCTCCTAGATCTGTAATTGAAATGCACTCAGTGTCTTTAAGAAATGATGACAGCAGTTTTTGTTAACAATGACTTTTCATTACAAGAGGATAGGCCTCAGACGTGACAAGGTACCAAACTTTAAAGGAGAATAATCGATTTTGGTAGACAGACGATGTTCATACATGTAACTATGATTCTAAAGCCCCGATTTTTAAGAAAAGTGTTCTCTGATAGAGAAGCCTTCAATGTTTTTTGAAAAATCTCCTTAAATGGAATAATGATGGCAGCAATTTTTTTTATCCCTGTAACTTGATGTCAGATGATAATGGGCTCAGCGGTATCTTGCTGTTTTTTTTCTTAGATAAAGAAGTAAATTAGTAATAAATTTTTTTAGATAAAGAAGTCAATTAGTAATAAAGTAATGGCAGCGATTGAATTGTTGAAGTTTTCTTTTTCGTTATATCATAGAGATTTTTCTCAAATCCTTTGTACGTTTAGCCGAAGCTCGATTGAAATTGCCTTTGATTGTAAGTGATCCTGTCTATAACAACTCGCCAAGGATGACAAATGAGGAGCAAGAATAAACATAAACGGAACGAAAGGGCGGAAAAGACATTAAGACATTGAAAGATGAGCTGGATTTATAAGATGGACAAGTGAATTAGCTCTGTTAAACTGACTATTCAGTCTCATTGGTAGCTCTTCGAAAGATGGAAACACTTCCCTGAGTATGGTAAAAATAAGTAAGCAAGCTCCATATATATTTCCTCTTGCTTTCCTCGACACAAGCTCTACCGTCGAGATACGAGGATCAGTTACGAGTTTGAATATAACTTACACTGGATGAAGTGTAATGTACTAACCAGAAATACTTGTGAGACCTGTTTTACTGTAAAAGGTATCTTATAGGGGATATTGTGGCTTGCAGATCATTTCATTGTCACTTCGATACAATTTAGAGGTCAGTTGCTCGAGAATAGAACAGCGAGGAGGAACTACAGGAGAGGGTAGGGTAACTGCAAGAAGTGACTATCCCTTACATTATCCAGCACACAGGAAATGAGAATACATAAACGCATCTGGTAGAGGTTTTCTTGATCTAAAACCAAAATCTCGTAACTATTTATAAGGGTATGTGTAGCGGCTAGAGGGAAGAATTAACAATCAGAGTTTAGAGGTTATAGGGTATATTTGGGTGGCCTTTCTACGAGTTAATTTCGTTGTAAGGCTTGATCGAGTGTACGAGTGAGCGTGTGGACGCGGATGAACTCCCGCGAGGAGCCACGACGCGCGCGAGTCAAGAACGGAATGGATTTGTCACAGGATGTTGACCTGACACGAATTTTTTCATTATTGAGACAAGGCGACTCACTTTGTTTTTTATTCCCTCCCTTGCATCTTAGCATGCCTACTTTACCCAATAAAGTTTTGATTTTGCCACTCAGCTAAATCAGGGAAGTGGTTTTAAAGGTATATTCGCGATGCTCTCGTTTTCAGAGCCGCGGGGAGAGTACACTGTGAATGTAACACCAAAATGCATAGATGACGTCATGGTCTAGTTGTCGCGGCTGCTGAAGGTTAAGGAACATCATGCCACTATTTCCTTTTAATCCTACGCTTCAGATAATCCGGAAAGAAACCTTATAGCTGAGAGCTGTCTATTGTCTCTGATTTATTTCGATAACGTGACTAACCCGGTTGCTTCATAGTGTAAGAATTATACATTTTATTTTGCATTTTACTGAGGCTATTACACAGGAGGTATGCATGATCTCCTGAAAAAAAAAGTATTGAAATCAGGTGCCTTTCTTATGGAACTAAAAGTAAGCTGAAATGGAAATTAATACATGGAGTTTTGCCAAACAAACCGTGTGCCTACGTGATCAAACATAGCTTCCATTTCATTACTCAACCGTGTTGAACTGATAGAGTAAAATCACATTGCAATATGGGACAAATTGAGGAAATCCTTAGTCCTGGATGATTTTTCCTGTTGACTTGGAACATTCTCGATGATAGCATTTCCTTTTGTTCCAGGAGAAATATCTATGAAAATCACTGGTGTCAGTTACCTAAATATATACAAAAATATACTTAATTAAGTGTTGATGGAAGGCAGCCACGGAAATAATATATTCCTCTTACACGCGTTTTGTATAAATTCCCAGAAAAAACGGACTTCCCATTACATTTTTGTCGCCATATAAAAAATATTGAGTGAGAGTCTAGTTTTTCACAAGGGGAAGTAAAATATCAGTGCCCCAAAGCTTTTTCCTTTCGAGCCCTTCCAAGGGGCTTTCGTTCTCGACGTTGTGGATTATTCCAGGGACGGGACACTTTGGAGGTTTTCCGCGTTATTACGTATTGCTGACATTTTATTAAACAACTGCTTCAGCCTGTTAAGTCTGGGCATGAAGGTGTAACAATTACGCTAATGAGTTATATTAATTTATCCATACGAGAAGTTATATCCTAGAGTTCATGTGGGGGACGGGTGGTCATTCGACACATGGAGCTAAGTAGTGTTTACCAAATTTCCCCTCATATACTTGCCTACTCCCTTAATTGACAACATCAGGGGCAGCCTTACAGCTCATAATGTGATTTTAATTCTCACTTACGATGTTGTACGTGTGATGCATTCAAAACTAGGAACTATTCTCCAATCAGATCCGAAAGGAAGTTATTCTGCCGTGACCTTAGACATTCTTTTCCTTGTTTCGCGACAAAGAGAAAGTGAAACACGAAGAAAATTAAGATTAACCTGTCAACACTGCAACTTGATGCATCCAGGAGGCACGTCTCAGCAGATCACATCACGCCTTATAACCACAGCACTGCAGGAAGGAGTTTCATTATTCCAAAGCTTTGCTACAAGGATGGCGGAGCTTCTCGGCGCAATGCTGCGAATAACAGTACTTCTGCTTGCGTTGGGTTGTGTAGCAGCCAAAAGGTTAGTTAAATTGGTCTTTCTACAGCGATTAGGTCTCTGTTTTTGTCTTGATCTTTTTTGGATTCATTAGTTTCGGCGCATATTGTATTAGTAACACAAACTGCAAAATGTTGGGTAATCACGCTTCAGCATTTATCCACTACGTCGATTCACTGAAAGTGAATGCAAGTCCGCCACAAAAGTCATAATATTATAAAACGAGTTTTTACTTTCAATCAAAGCCGGTAAATTGGGCTGAACTATTTGAGCTCAAGTGCGTCGTCAACCGTAACGTGAAAGGTAACGGCGCGACGTGCTTCTAGACAAATGACTACCATCTAATTGAGAGAGCACCAAAAAAAATTAGCTCGTGGGAAGAAGCCCTCTTGAATTTAAAATATCGGACATTATACTTTTCTCAGTTCATGAACATCGTGTTGATTTGCGAAAGCGTTGACCTGCGCTCCTAACTGGCGAGAAATATTAGATGCAAAGAACGATATTTTAAAGCATACCAGAATAAAATTGTAATTGGTGATTTTTGTGGCCACCTAGTTCGCATGGGGGCTCTGAAGAATGCGCTTTGAAGTGTATGTATGCACCGGATCGAACTGAAACGTTTTCTCTGAAGAAAGAAATTGGCCGATGTGCAACCTTTATGCTTGAGTGACAGGGCATTACGTGGGCCGTTTCATGCCTAGAGCTAAAAATGCTTTGAAACCGGAAATACAAATTAGTTAATTTGATTGAAGGATAGTTTTATTTGGACTAATTTTCTAACTAATGATAATGATGACTAATTCAATCAGCATTGAAAGCTTTCAATTATTTTTCATCGGGAATTGATGTTTGGAAATAGACGAGTGTCTAGCTAAATCTTCCAGATGTTAATTGGCATTTAAAAGAATTAAAAATAAACTTCTGCGAAACCGGAAGTGAACCTTCTCGTGGGTGGGCTGTTGAGCTTCTGTTGCAATTAAACATTGGCAAAAGTTCTCAGAATGGTCGGGAGACGGCGAAAGAAGAAATCTCGCGGTCACACAATATGAAACTCATTTGGAGTATCCTTTTTGTAGGGCACGTGAAACCCTATCCGATATGCGAGAGTGCAGATCCGATCTCATGCTGTGTTTCGACTTCCTTTAGCATTAGGTCCTGTTCGCTGCTTGTCCTGAACTGCTGTTGCTGATTTTAATCTTGTTTTTCCAATCACCGCGTAGGTGTCTCAGGAAGTAAAAGTATTGTTTTTCTCAAACATCGGGAGCTCATGAGGGTTTTAAGCATTTGGCAAAAAAATTGCGAATTCACACGAACCGTCACGGATTGTTAAATTTTTTAATTATAATCTTATTTATGGATTTATTCATGCTTTTAAAAGGGTGTTTACTTCATTTCTCTGCAAGAGTGCCGCTCTACATGTCATAACAAATTACTTTTTTCTTAAACTAATACGATATATATTCAGATTTTCTAACATTAAACTGACAGCTTTATTTCAAACCCTTTACTAAAGCTAGATTTCATTTGAACGAGCAAAAAAAAAAAATAATCCGTATACTGTAACCGTGCATCTCTCCATTTGTCTCGTGCGAATGGAATACTTAGTAAGAGAGGTTCGTCATTTACTTGCTTTCCGTTTTGAATGGGGGAGGGGAGGGTGCTTAGTCGAGAAGGACGTCCTATAGACTTGACACATAAACCCATTAAGCGTTCAACTCACTTGTAAATTTGTGCTCATTTATGACACGCATCAGTAACAACAACATATTCTCGCGTTGCCGATCTGTGATTTTTTTTTCTGCTTCTTTCCATTAAGCCACAAGCGTTTTATTCGTATCTTTTTTGTTTCCTTTTCTCTTTTATCTTATTTTATTTGCCATTTCATATAATATTACCATAATTTACAGAAATTGGTAAAGAAGACAAAAAAAATATCATTTGCGAGAAATTATAAAAAAAGCATTGAGGCTTTTAACCTTAGGTTCCATGATAATTAGTATCAGAGAAATATATTTAGACGATCGACATACTAAACAACGTGTTGACAAGCCGCATAACAGTCCATAGTAGAATTACCAGTCATTGAGATTAGATATTTTTAAGTTTTTTTTCTAAAGAATGCGGGAGACGAAGCGCCGGATCCCAGGAGTAAGTCGTGAATTTGGTGGAAGATTTATTATTCATTCTTCAATTGTTATCATTTCAGGTTTTCTATAATGGCTCCCAATATGTTTCACATTGGTGTCCAGGAGAAGGTATCAGTGACGGTGTTCGACGCACCGCAACCGGTGACAGTGAAGTTATACTTACAAGACTATCCACATAGACAAAAGACATTCTCAGAAGTGCAAGGAGTTGCGACAAACGGTAACTTAACGTTGGTTAATAGAAAAAAGTGGTTTTTTTTTCATGCGACAATCCCGAGTGTCAAATTTCTAATTATTTTCTTTCCTTTCTTCAGATAAAAGCATTTTTCTTCCCATAAAGGTACGACAATTTGATCAGTTTAACTTGTAATGGGTAGTTTATGTTGCAAGTGTTGTCTAAATTCAGGGGAAAGTGGGTGCTGGCTCACTGTTAGTGTTTCCTTTGGTAAACAACATCGTTTTTTTATACCGACATTTTAAAGGCAAATGTATGGGCCTGTTGAGAGAAAAAAGGGCTTTATGATTCAGGTATGAAACAGTAGATACTATCTGGGGTTTCATGAAAGTATAATTTTGTTTTTCCATTAACTGCCGTTTCTTTGACCCTCGCAGGTGGACCCACAGGACCTTTCAGATCCCAGTTCCGTAGATAAACAGTATATTTATTTGATTGCAAAGTCAGATGATGGCCACTTTCAGTTTCACAAAGAAGCGAAGATTCTTTTGAGTTACAAAGACGGGGTGGTATTCATACAGACTGACAAACCCGTCTACACACCAAGACAGAGTGGTAAGATGTTGCGATTGATCCCCAGCTTTCGACCCAAACCTAAAAAAAAATTCATGAAGGTAGACGACTACCCTCCCCAGTATAATGAACTGAATCTAACCCAAACTTCATTCTATTAAACAGTGAAAATCAGAGTGATGCCGCTTGAGTTTGACATGAAGCCATCAAGGAGGAAGGTGAGTACATCAATCACATGTTACTCTCAGTGGTTCTTGTATATTTTTTTTCCCATCCGAATCAACTTAGGTTTCATAAAACTCGTACGGCAATCAAATCCTATTTGCTCTGAAATCACTCCTTCGTAACAGAGGGTTTAGGAAGCCCTCTTCCCAAACCTTAACCCTTTATAATACAAAGTTAGCTGTTGTGTAGCTCTGTTTCTCTTTTTAATTGAAGGACCTTGATGAACAACGACCAATCATGTCCAATTAATTATTTTCGAAGAACGTACTAAATTTTTTTTTGTTTTTTTTCTTTTTTCCTTGATATAGATTACCGTAGTAGTCATGGTAAGCATCTTAACTATCTTTTTTTTTTTTTTCATCTTTTTTCTTTGGTTTGTTTAAGATCGATGCTCTACTGCTGGAGACATGATGGCTCAGATCGAATGAAATTTGAACCCAAATGAAGAACCGAAAACCACATCGAATACCAAATGCTAAAAAACAGAAAATCCGCAAACCGCAATGAACACCAAAACCGAAAAACCTAAGTTTTTTTGGAACAAAAAACCGAAAAAATCGATCTAAAAAATAGCTAAAGCCGTGAAAGCTAAAATCCCAATGCCCCCCTCGCCACGAAATGTCTTGTTAAAAACAATGTCCTTTGCTTAATTCCTTCTGAGTGCTTGAACGACGATGAATTCGTTGATCACAGCACAGTCCTTTAACCAAAACTTTTAAGCCTTATTGGAAAATAATTTATATCATCTTTGTTCACTAGAGTTTAGAATTTGGTCCTAAGCGTGTAACCTTTTTTTTTTTCTTTCTTTCTTTTGTTTTCTAGAATCCACAGGGTGTCCGTGTACAACAGTGGAAAGACTTGGACACCACTACAGGTTTGAATTGTTCCTTGTCAAGCATTCAGAGAGATTGTAAAGAAGGTCACATCATTCCTGCAAATTGTCCATTTTTCCTTTTGAAGCTACGTGTTCGGCTCACATCCTCTTTTTGAAACTTGCAAGTAGACCCTATTCACCTTCACTCTTATGAAAGAATTGTATTTCGAAAAGTGTTTCGAGAACTTAGCTGGTAGATAAGAGGGCTAAATAGTTAATTTTCTTAAGTGGATAGTGGATCAAACCAGACCCCAGTTGTTTTTGGTCACGTGTTTATGGTTGGGCTATTTCAAAATGGCGGCTGGCCTCTGAAGATGTAGTAACCTTCAAAATATGATTCACGTGTCTTTACGGCCCCGCGATTCGTGTAAGGTGACTGTACTGTTTAAATACTTGGTAAACTAGTCTTTCGAATATCTAGCTATCAAGCAATGCAAATGATGGTAAGGTTGGTTGATTTGAGTGTGTTTCAGATGATGAATGTTAATTTTGACATAGTTAAGTTATTTATTTATTTTCTTTTCAAGGTATCATATCAAAAAGGCTCGAACTGGGCGACTTTATACTCCATGGTAATTGGACCATAACAGCCGTTTACGGTCACCAGGTATTCCAGATCTCTAACTTATTTTTTTCTCTGAATCACACCTCTTACCCGGTCAATGAGAGTGCCATTAAAACAAAACAGATTTCAATTTGAGAAACAGAATGATTTCAGTCACATGAAGTAAAGAGAAGCCAAAGTATTTTACACTTAGTCATCAACTGAATTTCTTTTTATTTATTCTGTTTTTCTTTTTTTTCTTTTCATTTTTTTAAAGAACATCCACAACACTTCTGTGCAGTTTGAAGTTAAAGAATATGGTAAGAATATTCTGAAATACTTATTAGGTTCCTCGGTATTTTTCATGCTAATAGTTATTTTTCATGCTAATAGTTATGCATACTTCTTTAATCTCTTAGTGCTCCCCAAGTTTTCAGTGAAAGTCTCAGTGCCACCTTACATACTGAAAACAGACGATGCATTCGGGATCAATATTACTGCAAGGTAAGAGATTGCTTTTGCTTACGAAAACAAACACTATCCTAAACTGAGAAACTTTTAAAATACAAAGTAGCTCTGTTTCATTTTTCAAAGAATATCTTACATAGAATGGGAAAGATGGTAAATTTCGAGCTTGGTCATGAAAAAAAAAATAGAAAAATTTTATTCATCTGGTCACAATGTAGGGAAAAGGAAACATGTATCCCCTGCAAGGATGAAATATCAGTCCCTTGGATTCTGTGCTCCAAATTCTACCACTGAGCTTTAAAGTACTATTTGATTGCTAGGCCTTTACTAAAACGTTTTGGAAACTTCAGTATTATCGTTTTCTAAGGGAGAGAGGAGGAGACAACAATAAAGGGAAACATAGAAAAAGCTAAAAATGCTAAATAAATAACTCTTTGCTGGATCTAAAGCCACAAATTTTAAAATTCATCTAGAGTAATTTTTCTTGCTGATTTACCATATGTCTGGCTGTTGGCCTTTTCCTTTTTTTCTCCTCAATTTATTTTTACTTCTCTTTAACTCTTTTGATAAAATTTTCTTAATTTTCACCATAATATAGCAGATAAAAGATGCTAGTGTGATAACCACATAGTGGCAAAACTTGTTGGATTTGAATCGTTTGGGTTTTTTGGTTCTAGAGTAAAATCTTATAATCTTATCACTCAGCTCTTGCAAAAATATTACACAAAGAAACCACATAACATATAATGAAAACCCCTGACAGAGCTCTGCTGTGATAGTGAGGGACTTAATCACAGCTAGAGGGAGTGGCCCACTAGCAGTATCCCATATTTCAATGTCAGGATATAAATAGGAAATTAACAGGGTAGAGTTGAGCCTTACTTCTAAACTTCCAGTCTTAGGAAATATATAGATAAACAAAAAATCTAAAAAACAAGTTATCTGTCAGTGTTTAACCTCTTTCCTTCCTTGTTGCATGAAGTTACTTTTGCACCAACGAGTCACCAATCTCTTTTTTAGCTGTTTTGCCCTATTTTGTATTTTTTTAGGTACACTTATGGGAAACCTGTTCTCGGAAGTGCTACATATTCTTTGTTTATTGAGGGTGTTGATGGTCAAACTATAAAGTTTGATGCGCAAACCATTATAGTAAGTTGTAACACAGGAAAAAGATTAGATTGACAGACTGACTTCTGATTGTCTTTGATTGCTGAGTTTATTGATAGACTCAACAGACTACTTGGTTTATTTATTGATTGGCTAATTGACTCTGATTCACTGACTGACTGACTCAATAACCCACTCACTCAATCACTCACTCACCTGTTCTCTCATTGACTCATTGACTCATTGACTGACTGGCTAGTGACTGACTGACTCACTGACTGACAGACTCACTCTCTCACTTGGTCACTCACTTACTGGTACATGCTCTCTCATTGATTTGTTAACTGATCTTGACCGATTGACTAACTGGGTGACTGATTTACTGATTGATGAACAGACTGAAACTCACTGTCTTACATGCTTAGCAAGTGGTTGATCCCAACTTATAGATAAATCAACTCACTGAATGCAAATCTGACTGACTGACTGACTAACTGACTGACTGACTGACAAACTTTCTGGCTGACTGATTGACAGACCATCTAACTGCCTCACTGACGGACTTACTTTCTGACTGACTGAATGACTCACTGACCAACTGACTGACTGACTGATCAAACTGTCCAACTGACCGACTCGCTCACTCATTCACCAACTGCCTAGCTGACAGACTGATTGATTGAATGATTGATTGATTGATTGATAGACAGACTGATCCTAACTGTTTGACCGACCAACTGAATGACTCAGTCCTTGAATAACTGACTGATTTTTTGAATTGACTAATTTGTTAAGTGCTTTCATTCTTTTCCAATGAAATATGCATTAAAGCAGACACCTTAGATAAAATGGCTTTGTGGGAACAAAATTGTTCTTAACAACATTTGTCCATGTCTCACCATTCAACTCTCTCCTTTCTTGACTCAGCTTCACAGCAGTGGAGTTACTACCGTCCCACGACGGATCCAGATGATTCGAGACCTTCCTGGGAATATCTGGTTCCCGTTGAAAGCCAGACTTCTGGTTCAGGTTGATGTTGTTGAGGCGGTGACTGGTAACAAGGCAACTGTTGAGGATAGAACATGCCAATTTACATCAAGCCCTTACCGCATTGCCTTTAAGAACACACCAAGATATTTTAAACCAGGATTGCGGTATGTAGTGAAGGTAAGAACTGTAATATAAAAAGGTCTTTGAGATGGAAACAAAACCTATAATTGGTTAAAATGACCATATCTTGGCACTCTTCTGGTGTTGAATGTCTCCCCCTCCTCTAAAGAGGGTACATGTATTTGTTTCCAGGGGGTGAATTTGCATTTAAATTTAGTCTTCAAGCCTTCATACTTTGTCTTAACCCTTTAATCCCTAAGAGTGATTAGTAACTACTTTCTCCTATCAGTATCATCCCTAAAACAAACATTGAGGTTATGAGAATTAAAAGGAAATGATCACCAACTAAAGAAGCTCTGGATTGTTAAACAAATTCTCTTCATTAGTACCATAGGAAACACACACACAACAGTATGGAGAATTCGTATCCTGATGTTAGGGTGCAAAGGGTTAAAAACTGTGTAGCCCAACAGAGGACAGGGGGAGGTCTTGTATAAGAAAATCAGGTGAAGTTTGGAAAAAGGATGATTTGTGTGCTAGTCAGGTGTTTTGTCATAAAAATTAAAAGCGAACGAAAGGGTCTTTACTTCCATACGTTAGTTTCTTCATATGAGAGTAGTAGAGCATTACATCTGACAGTTATTGGCAGATTTTAATATTATTGCAATTTTGTTTTAGGCTGTTGTTACCTATCCCAACACAAAGCCAGCTAAGAATGTTCCAATGCTGATTTCTGCCAAAGGGAAACAGGGAAATAACGAAATCGATTTGAAGAGAGAGGATCGAGACCCCAATGTGGTAGACTTGACAGATGAAAATGGAGAGGTTGAGTTTGTAGTGGATGCTTGTTCAAACTGTGCGGAAATTAATATTAAGGTAAGATTAAACACAGTAATTCAACCAGATTATGGAGGCTCATCTTCTAATTCTTAGTATACAAAAATAAGAAAATTGTGTATTGTGTTCACCGAGAGCCATTCTGAATCATTCTGGATTGAGATGGATTTGAATCAAAAAAAATTTGGCTGTTATTCAATGAGCTACCTGAGCTATGTTTCTAGGGTCACATTGACGGTGTTTTTTAAGGAACAGTATGTGGAAAAAGTAAGGATTGATCTTCAGTGTATGTAATATCCAGTTTGGGTAAAGCTTCTAAATATATTTGCGAAAGAGTGAAACACTAAGATTTCAGTATTGATCTGACCCACCACCCCCCAAAAATCCTCTTTGATTAGTCAGGAGGAGTGTTTTCTCTCTGTATTAAAACAATGGAGTTAAGAAATATGTTTTCGGTCCGGCCAAGAGTCATTTTAGAAAAAAAAAACACAACAACAAAACAATCTGAACAATCACGTGAGCATGCGTATTTTAGTGCGCCAATGTCTCCATTTTAGCCCGCAAAATGCGCCGCAGTTCCTAATCGACAAATTGATACGATTTAATGGGAAAGTGGAGCTTATTTCATGTCTTTTTTGATTAGGTTAAAACGGACAATCAGAACCTAACTCCTCAACAGAATGCAGTCGCCAGGTTGATTGTGAACCCATTTGACGCAGAAAATGGACCGCTGATTATGGTTCGTCAGCTGACACATGGAAAGGTAACTCTGATTGTCCGGTCAACGCTCAGTGATTTAAAGTTTAAGATTTTTTGGCAGTAAACAGCATTTTTACCCCACTTGTCTTAAAGATCCCCGCGTGATATTCGCAATCGAAAGGAGCTCGAAGAGAAGTCTCGAAGGCAAATGAACACATGGCTTTAACAAGATTTTTAACTCGTGATTCCCGGATAGCAGTGCAAGGCTATACCAGCTGAGATAAGACTACACCACAATTTTGTCGATCGCTCATTTTAGAACTGCACATATGTTAGCAAATATGTTTTTCTGCAATTATGTACAGATTTTATCAAAAGGGATAAACATGATTTTAGCAGCTACCAAAATAGCCAAATGAGACTATTCGACCAAGCTTGTGGTCCTGATGAGAGCGCTTCAGTAGGTTTTTTTGCAGCTTGGTCCATGAATAGTTTGATAGAGAGCTTTTTGTTTGAGGTTCGTGAAATAAAAACGTGCTGTTACCGATCAGAAAAATACGTCATCACAAGGGATGGCCTATGCGCAGTTCCTTTTTTCCGGCGAAGTCCTGCGCGCAAGTCAAAACGTCAGTGAAAAAAAAGTTGATGTTAGCGCACCACGCGGAACACTGGACTTCGGAGGGACTGCTCTTAGTTTTACACAAGGGAACAATAAGAGTTTAAATGAAAATACTTAAAAACGACTCCAAACGCGGAAAAACGCGGGTAACTAGGTCACTACCGGTTTTGAATTTTGCTTATGACTGATTGAGAGGATAGCACAGTATTGATGACTATTCACATAAGCGATTTCAGCGATGCAAAGCCAATGCAGTCCTGGGTTATTTTCTACTCCCAGACTGCTATAACCAAAGAAGTCGTAAGGTGAGAAATATGCTCATATTTCACATACACTTTTTTTTCCGTAGGTTGGCCGTAAAATACAGTGTGAAAGTTATCGAAGCCGCAACGACGCTGCAGCCAAACTTTCGTTTGCGGTAGGTTTAGTTCTTGCGTTTGCCATGTTTTTCAGTTTACCTATGGGAAGGTCTGGGAATAATGTAGAGGATGATAAACCACACATAATCCTACCACTCCTTAGATCTACATAGCAATTCTCCTTTCTGTTTGCCATGCATTTTTAACAATGTTAATTCTGAGAATTTGGTTTTGAATAAAAAAAGAACACTTTCCAATTGATAGTTTTGTACACTCTCATTACCTTTCTGCATAATTTTGTATTGATACTGTAAGGACAAAATAACTTCTTGGTCACTTCTTGAAGTGAAAAGGTAATTTTTGTCGGGAGCTGAATCTTTCCTCTCCTTGCAAGCTCACTAAACTGATATTACACTTTCTTCATTTTTCGGATGGATAACCGTTATTCACCCTACAGTTCCAATAGCATCTGGTTTCTGCTTTTCTAATCTGAAAAGTTCTCTTTCAGGTTGTGTCTCGAGGACGAATTATTTCTCACAACACAACAGACAACTTTGACGGAATGTTTAAAAGTTGGTCGTTCCGTGTCACTTCTGAAATGTCACCATCAGCACGTTTGATTGGTTATTACATTGACAGCAACGAACGCGTTGTAGCTGACAGCATTTTGCTCAGAATTGATGACAAACTTCCAACCGAGGTAACGAGAAAAAGATATAGTGAAATGCGGGCAAGAGAGGATTTTTTCAACATCTGTGAAAGGGTTTTTATTGTCTGGTGAATTGTGAAATGACTGCTTGTATCTCGATTTTTTGGATGACTTAGAACAGCAATCTTCCCAAAAGTTTTGCATAGAAAGAGAAATGAATGTTTGATACATTGTAATCCGTTACTTATCTTTCTTACCTCCGTGAGCTGCCAACCACCATACTCATTTCTGTGAAAATTGCCACTTTTTAACAAGCCGTTTTAACAGAGACCCCCGTTTTCCCATACCATCTCCTTATACCTACACTGCCTATACTCCTAATACTTATACAATACTTATCGCATTTTGTCAACATTAGGTCGAATTTCCAGATTCGTGGCAACAGCAGGCCGATGGGTCCTTCGTGCAGCTCAACGAAGTGAAAAAAGACCCTGGAAGACATTACCAACTGGAAGTCAGGGCCCCACAAGGGACACGTCTGGGTCTTCTGAGTGTGGACCAAAGTGTGTACCTGTTGAGAAACGAGAACAGACTTACTAAGGACAGGGTGAGTGGTGTCGCTTTACAATGCTACAATTCGTCTGTGTTTTTATTTCATTGGTTTTGTTTTTCATTAAGATGGCTGATTCAGCCCTCCTACGAAGAGAGAGAGGATTATTTTGCCCTTCGAGGGTACTCATGCATGGGGCGTGAGCTTTCGGCTTTCAAACACAAAATACAAAAGCGCGACGCACAAAGTGTAACAATAGTTAAGCACAAACAGTGTTATTTCACATCTGTAAAATACAAATCAATATATTGATCTTAAAAATGATTATGTGGTTTTTCAAATGAGTGCTTCAATCTAGTTTATTACGCTTGATGGAAAATTGAATCTCTGATAACCTCATTCTCAAATTAATCAGTCGCCATAGCAATGGTATATAATGCCATCAATACAGTTAGTTGTTTGTCGTAAGAGCCGGTGATTTATATACGAGCCCGGTGACCTTTATGACGGAGTATGATTTATCCACCTTGAGATGGACCTGCAACCCATCCAGGGGGGAGTAGTGATACTCCCAGTCGCTTGATGCCATGGAAACTGGGACAAGCTCCGCCTGGGCGGGCCACTTGGCTCGGGTGTACACTTCTATGAATTCTCTTCGTAACAATCACGGTTCGTAAAGTATTAGTGATTGGATTTGGAGCCGCCTTAAATGTATCAAACATTATATTATAAGTGAACCTTTGGTGTTTTCTTTCCCAGATTTTTAAGACCATAGAGGGACTTGATCTTGGTTGTGGTGTAGGAGGAGGACGGAACAACAAAGACATTTTTAAGGTTAGTAGTAATACAGGCCTGACTAAAAGTGAACAAAAGATTTCTTTAATTTACAAGGTATTGTCACAAGCGTATAGGAAATCTTCCTCATATGCTAATCCATTTCTTAAGGGACGCGACACTTGAAAGTTGTTTTGACGCTTTTGAAGAGTTGATTGGCATATTAGATTTGAAAACTGAAACAATAGGGGAAGTTTGAAAATATTTCACTCGTTTGATGGAGTTGGTGACTTGAAAACTGATTCATTCACAAGTTAAGGGCATGACCACTCTTTGAAATTTTTCTCAGATCACCTCTGGGTATGTTTCTAAAATGAACTTGCATGCTTTGATAGAAAAAAGTATAGCCATTTAGTTTCTCCTGTTTAGATTCTCAGGAACTTAAAGGTTGCGATAATTTTGTTATTATTTTTTCTTGTTTTCGTAGAATGCTGGTGTTGTCCTGATGACTGAAAACTTTGTGAGTGACGGGAGAGAAGGTAAATTATTGCGCCGTCAGTTTATTCACTGTAGGAAATGATCATCAATTTAAGAAGCTCGTGATTGTCACACATATTCTCCTTGTCATTAGTATAGGAAATGTGAAGGGAACAGTGTGGAGAATATCAATACTAATATTATTTGACTTGATTTGATTAACCTCTACTAATACTTACTGGCTGAAGGGGGCAAGTTTCCAAAAGAAACTGTGTTGCTTCGTCGTTGGGGGTATGATAAGATGATTTGGTTTTAACAGCTGAGTTGGTAACGTGAATTGGCCATCGTAAATAGTTTTTAAAGCTGAAGTTTCAAACGCTAGAACTTCGTCAGAGCGGAAAGATGAATTGTGGGTTGTGCGTGGTTTATTTACTGTCTATACAAAAAGATGGAGCTACGCTGTTGATGGGAACATAGTAACATGAAAAACATAATCATAAATTAGGTGAATGGAAAGTGCTCGTTGATACCAAGAGGATTAAGAGTTCCGCCGGATTTGAAAGATAAATTCAGGCCCTTCAAACTCTGAAACCATTTCACTAACCTGAAGAATTCCCTCCCCTCAAAGTTAGTTCAAGGTCGAAGATCTTTACATTCTTTAAATCATTTTTATATGGCAGATTACGGCTGCGAGCACAATAATGCTCGGAAAAAGAGGAGTGCAAGCAAAGAAGGTGAACAAGTTTTTTTCGTAAAACAATGTTCTTCCATCCAGTTTTATTTTCGATCAGAATTTCCGTAACACAACAGTTGATGTGTATTTTTATTTATCTCTTTTTCTTTTCCCATTTAAAACTCAAATTCGTCAGTGAATGTTTTTCACTCAACAGATTGCAAAGCATACTGTAAAATGGGTGAAAAGCCAGACGAGGAAGGGAGAAGCTGTGCAAGGCGCTACATAGACGACACTACATTTGCTTCGCCCTCTTGTAGGACAACGTTCTGGCGATGCTGTAAAAAAGCTTTTGGTGCAGAAGGTATGGGTTAAGTGTATAGGCTCGTCATTGCCCAAGTTTTCACTTCTCTTTCGCTTCAAACGACAAGGATTTGTTAACTCACATGGTAAGTACCTCATCGCAGGGTTCCCCACCGCCTTTCCCCAGGATTTTGTCAGGTTTTTCTAGTACCCATTTATATTATTGACTTCTCTTTAACAATCGTTTGATATGATTTTCATCTATTCAGAGGAGAGACATTCTCATAAGAACTATTATTAAGAAACCAATGAAAAGTTTGATAACTTCATCCTTATTGGCTGTCGGTGTAAAGTTCCTATACGTTTATTTTTCCAATAAGATCATACTTTTGCAAATGTCGAGAGGACAAGTTGGATGCCCTCTAAAACGCTATTTCTCTTTCAGATTCTGCACTTCTGGCAAGAAATCTGGACCTCGGTGATGACTTTGGTCCAAGTGAAGAAGAAATCCTCTCTCAAACACAAGTCAGATCTTTTTTCCCGGAAACCTGGATCTACGACGAGAAAGTTGTTGGGTAAGGCATGTCTATTCTTAAAGAACTGCTTCCGTGATATTTTATTATAAGATCGTACACATAATTGTAAGCGACCGGATCAGGGTGGTACCGAAAAGGACTGTTGTTAGTGAGATTGGCTGACTTTCAAACCTTAGCAGAATTTCATTACCAGAGTGATGTGGAGAGTAGTTTTCCAACACAATTTCTTAGACGACATCGAAAACTTGCCACCTATTATCTGAGAAACTGTTTCTAACGCAGAAGAAACTTTTGAACTAGGAAGGGAGTGAAAAGTAGGTCTCAGTGGCTTCAATGAGGTTAGAAACATGTTTGTGAACTACATTGGGATTATTTTTGCATGAATTCGAGGGCAAAAAGGCCTCATCAAATTTAATGAAACCTTAAAGACCAACGCTTCCTAGGCAGGAATGAAACAAAAGGATCAAAGATTGTTTAAGATGAAGAAGTTTAACCCGAATTGCCAATGACGAACATGTAGAGATTAGGGTTAGTTTTCCAAAATCTTCAACTGTGATGTTACTCCTTTGATATGAACTAATGTAATGCAAGGCAATAGAACGTATATTAATCTAATACAACCTTCTAAATCATGTCATGCCATATCATCTCATGTCACGTCATGTTATGTTATGTCATGTCATGTCATGTCACGTCACGCCACGTCGTGCCACGTCACTTTACGTTACGTCACGCCACGCCAAGACATGTCATGACATGTTATTTCGTGTCACGCCACGTTTTGCTATGTCTTGTCACGTTACGTCATGTTATGCAATGTTTTATAGCCCGGATGGATTGGTTCAGATGGGTGTCACCATACCCGACACCATTACCACGTGGGTCATGCAGGCCGTGGCAATCAACAATAGAACCGGACTGGGTCTAGCCACGCCTCTCAGGATTCTGGCATGGCGTCCAATATTTCTCTCTCTGAAGTTCCCATATTCAGTCAAAAGAGGAGAGCAAATATCCATCCTGGCAACAGTGTTCAACTACCATGATCAAGAGCTGAGGGTGAGTTGGAAATTAAGAGTTGTATTTTGACGCTCTTGTTGTAGAATGAAAATCAAGTCATCAGTTCATTCAAAGAAAACGAATGATGTGAGTGAATGATGTTAAAATAGTTCGTGTCATCCTTTAAGTCCCTTTATTGCAATCTGTCCCATTTTTTTTTAAGAAATTTCCTTTAGTGTGGGGAAAGGAATAACAAAAAATCAATTTTACATGGCAGGCGTCCGAAATTCGAACATACGATTTTTTAAGTGCCAAGAGATAGGAAAGGCTCGATAAGAGTTGAAATTTAAAGGCTCATTCACACAGGCGAGTTTTCCGTCAATTAACCCTTCGCAATGTAAGTGCAAGTTCTCCATATTGTCTTCTCCAGGCAAAAATTTACCTCCAGGGTGACAAAGATTTTTGCTCGATTGCTGCTGATGGCAAAAAAGCTCAGATTGGTATCGTTGATATTCCGCCCGGCAATGCTCGCTCGGTTGCTGTGCCAATTGTTCCTAAAAGAATTGGAGAAATCTCAATTGAGGTCTCAGTCATACTAGCAGGTGATGTTGGTGGAGCAATGATGAACCAAGCTGGAGATTCTGTGAGAAGAAAACTTTACGTTGTGGTAGGCATTTCCTTTCATTTTTTCTATTTATAATATCATAATCATATTTTCACAAGAATATTGGGGTGGAACTTTTAAGAACATGATAAGAATGTTCCTTACCTATGGCTGAGAATTTGGTACGGAACATTTTTATAATTGAAAATAAAATTCGTTGTAATCTCATGATATATATGATATATCTTAAAATTAACATCATTTTACCGTGGACAGTGAAGTCTCTAGTGGATCGCCTCTTTTAATTAATGTGCATGTAGAGCAGTTGGGTCACAATCCATAAATTTTTTTCCGTTCTTAAGCTCGCGGCGCAGCGTCCGATATTCTGGGTGTGGTTTGAAACGGCGGAAGCCACGGATGATATCCCTACCTCGTTTGTTGATTCTGTCCTGCATACGCCCCTAGCCATGAAATCCTGAGATAAATGATAATTACAGTCACCAAGATGAACAACCATAACTTTTTCAGGATATAAGAAGGGTTGATGAGCCCATACGATGGACAGAATGTAGGAGAGTTAGGGATGGCGAAAGGGGGATCACCGTTATTTTCCACTTTTCTTTGCTGTTACTTTCAAGACTTTTTAAACCGTTTCCTATGACATTTCATTTTAGCCGGAAGGAAAGGAAACTCGAAAAACACAGTCTTTCGTATTGGATCCAAAAGGTAAGCTTTCTCGAGTAATACAAACTATATAAAAAGAAATATTAAGACAATCTCTTGAAGACGTATATTGTTATGTTAAGGTAAGTGTAATTTTTTCCTCCAAGGAGAGGCCTCGTAGTGGCAGCGCTGGCTGGCGATTCCTCGACCTGTTGTCTCAAGGGACTTCGGTTTTTTGTAGCCTGTTGCTCTTACTCTAAGGGTTTCTTTTTTTCTGAGAGATTCGTTAGTTCCCTCTACATCAAAGAACACTGCTAATTTTAATTTGGCGTAAAATCCGTGAACGGAGAACCACTCTATGGATGTACAACTTTTTAGTTCTATGCAGTTATTTGTTTAGTCATTTTGCTTTTTTTCTGGCGAGTCATTTTAGCTTTTCATTGTGTGTTGAGGAATGAAAAAAGATTAACCATACTGTTTTAACTTCATTTATCTTTCAATTCATGTAGGAAACCTAAACGATGGTCCTAAAAATGGAGATCAAAAGCAAAACAAACCAACTGCCGCACCCTTCCAGAGACAATGTATGTATAATGGTATTTTAAATTTGCAAAAGTGAAAAGCTGCAATTCTGAGATGAACAATTAGAATGTGTCGGCTGAAGCTTTTAATTTTTTTCCGAAAGCCGACGATTTTGTAGGGATGACAATGAAAGAAATTCGACAGACACTTAGGTTATGAAAATAAAGTGAGTGAAATCTTAAGATATGGCTTTAAATCTAACAGACGTGAGCAACAAGGTAGGAGTGTGGTTTGAACAACAAGACTGATTTGAAACGATGATGGTTTCGAATGAGATAGTGGTTGCCCTGTCTTATCAATGATTGTTTATTTTCATTGGGCGTGTAAATCGATTTGCTATTATAAATCGATTTTCGTGGAACCAAAACTAGCAGTAAGAACGATTTCCATTATTGCATGATTTCAGATTCCAACACATGCGAGTTACTATAAATTATTATAATCTCATAAATTATACTGTTCCTCAGCGCGAGTGGATGGCAACGGTCAGCATGACATTATCAAGTTGGAGTTTCCAGAGAAAGCCATTCCTGGTTCAGTCGGTGCAGTAGTTTATGTGACAGGTACGTAAGCGATTTTTTCGAGAATGTGTAGACGCAGTAATTAAACGGAGAGGGACTAGGGAAGTTAGAAATTTTATTCGCTCGCAAGCTCCCTCTGCACAATCCTTCGGCCTTGTCTTTGTTTGAAGGAAAATATGGAGACATTTTGATCCAAAACGTGTGAAAACTTGGAGCTTTCTAACCGGGGGTGACTCTCTTTTTCGTTTTAGGGAACCTTCTTGGTCCAGTCGTCAACACTACCATTGAGGGTGGTCTGGAGAGATTTATCAGACAACCTACTGGTTGTGGGGAGCAAAATATGATAAGGCTTGCACCGAACGTCTACGTTTTAAAATATCTGATGAACACCAATCAGCTGACTGGAGCAAACGAAGCAAATGCGTTTCGATTCATTCAATCAGGTAAACTTTGCTGGGCGGAAATCTTAAGATGAGAGCTCGTGAGTTTCCTGTTTAAAGCACAGGGTTTTACAAAATTTGCTTTAATGGCCGGTTACAGAAGGTAATTCGTCTTTCGAAATATGTGACGGGATGGCTGTGTTCGAAATATGTGACGGGATGGCTGTGCCATCCCGTTTCAGTTGTCGTTGTTTTTCATATTTTCGAAAGGAAACTGTGCACTCGTGTGAAGTCCTTGCCTGGCTGAGAAGTCTCGTAGGAACTTTGATTATTAAGTAAATTTACTGAACCCTTCTGATTATGTTTTAACATGACTTTCGACGTTGAAGACTTTCTTAACATTTAAAATTATTTTAGTGCAATGCCCCTTTATCTCCCCTTGACGCGACCTTTCTCTGAACCCGATGTCTGCCTTAGTGTGAATTAAACTACCTTACCTCTTTTTTTTTTTTACAAGAAGTGAAGGACGCTGCCAGGGTAAAAATGATTCATTGAAGAACAGATAATTTCATAATTTGTTACTTTTGATCCTAATGCAGCAGCACACTTATTTTGTAGGCTATGAAAGAGAACTGAACTATCGTCGAGGTGATATGTCGTTCAGCGCATTTGGAAACAGCCGACCTGGAAGTACATGGTTTGTAGAAATATGAATTGATTTAAGCAGTGACTTTAATAAGGTATGAGAGGTATATCTGCCAACCAAATAGATCTGACTTGCTTTACCGGTCTCCGGGAGGTGTTGGTCCTGCGATGTTTTCCTAGAATTCCTGTTGTCACGTCCTCCCTCCCTCCACCCTCACCCCCCTCCCTGGTGGGTAGACGTAGGCTTTTCTGTGACGAAATTATGTTAGTATCATATCGTTGGATACAGTTCTCGAATGAAATACTTCTAAGCTAGGCCGCTTTCAAATCATTTTCTTTTTAGCCGGGAACCGTATCCTTTCTTTACTCTTTTGAATTCACATTTCCTGGCTCTCTTTTGCTCTTTTTTGTTGGTAAATTTAACTTTTTCGGGCAGTATAGCTGGCTGATTTCTTGTGCCCACCAACTTCATTTCATCATTTCACGTCTAGGCTGACCGCATTTGTAATGAGAGTATTCTGCGAGGCTCAGCAGTTTGCAGGAGTCAACATTGATGAAGGAATGGTTTGTCGGTCTGTTGAATGGCTGATGAATAACCAACGAGGAGATGGGGCTTTGCCCGAAGTCAACGCAGTCATTCACAGAGAGATGGTCGTAAGTGGTTTCTTTCCACTCCATAACCCTCTATTTAGGGAGTGTCACGCAACCCTTTGGGTCTAAGTAACGTATCATGCCTCCACTCTATGCTTCAATATTTTCGGCTATTGATAATGAAGAATTACCTGTTGAGGGAACCATTTCTGATCAGTTTTAAAAAGTAGAGTATTATAAAAGAGTGCCTGTCTGAAACATGTTGAATGTTTGTTTGCGAACTTAGAACAGACTTAGAATGGTTTTTGAGAACGTTCCAAGAAAAATAATAATAGTAAACTCAACCCCCCACCCTAAGGATGTCATCGACGAGATCAGGAAATGTTACGCCTCATTATTGATTTTCGTCAAAGGTCCAATAATCGTCGAATTATTTTTGATCACTCAAAACACAACGACGTTGCTTTATTCTAGGGAGGTGTTTACACGGAAGGAGATGTTGCCATGACAGCTTTTGTTTTAACTGCCCTCGCGGAATGCAAATGCTCAGGAGCGGTAAGTGTTCAACTATTTAATGTTTGAATTCCTTCTCAGCCTTTACATCGTTTTCTTTACATTTGTGGTAAAAGAATTTACTTAAAAGATGAGTACCGGTCTAGATATTTAACGAGAACAAACACAGAAATACGTATGCGCCCAGTTGCGATGCAGAAAAAACAAACTCCTCCAAAAACAGAGTTCGTTGTTCAATTATTCTTGCTTCTTTTCCTTTTCCTTTCTATTCGTCGGATGTGTTTGACAATGCGCTCATTATCAAAATATTTTCAACTGCTGTGGGCAAGCTTTCTTCATTCACGCGAGTTGTTTGCAATTATCACAGGGGTCAATAATACCACCACATTAGAAAACACTTCCATAAGTGTGTTAACATTTCATTTTTGAACAACCAACAGTGCACGTTCCATTTAACAGCTTGCTGAACTCTAGTGCCTTTCCTGTTCTTCTGCGACTCCACACTAGCTTTGTTTCAACGTCTAGCGCACCTCCTACTTCAAGCACTACTATATAGCTGACAACTTAATATCGCATTGAACTAAATACTTCTAATTTTCCTTCTCTTAGGCCTCAAAAGCCTCTATACTTCGCGCGACAGATTACTTGGAGAAGCAGTACAAAAACCTGAACAGACCTTACAGTATGTCTCTCACAGCATATGCTTTGGCATTGGTAAATAGCAAAGAAAAAATCAACGCCAACGACCGCCTAGTACAAAGGGCTATATATGACAATGGTAAGATAGTGGTTAACGAAGAAATTCTGCTGATTTCTGGTTTGTCATTCACGCTAATGGCATGAAATAAATAAGGGAGAAAGTAACAATAATTTAGTTCACAAAATCAATTTATACAGAAATAACTTTATATGACGCATTAAAGCATAATTGTTTTCCAGTTTGACGCGAATTTTCGTGTCGTCTATATACTCGTCAGAGACCTCACTTAATTTTCACTGGACAAACTTGTTGAGCATCAGGCACAAAATCCCGCTTGCAACCAAGTTTGAGGCCTGAAGTAAGCATGTTCGAAGTGAGGTGTTCATTTTCGAGCACTTTGAATTCTTAATTTCTTAATAATTCCTCTTAGCTAAAAAGTCACGTTACTGGAACACTGGTGGCAATGCGTTGGATGTGGAGACCGCTGGTTACGCGCTGATGACTCAAGTTCTCCTCGGACGCACAGGTTATGCAGGTCCTATTGTGACGTATATGACCAGTCAAAGGCAGGGCGGTGTTGGATTCGTGTCTACTCAGGTCTGTTTAACAAAGTAGTTAAAATATCGCAGCTCGCCTCAGTAATCTCCAATTTTTTTGTCTTTTCTGTGTACGTAAACGTCAAACTGCTGGTCCGGGTAATTGTGAAGAATAACCGACAATCGACCGACAGTCAGTTGTCTGTCGGTTATATGTCGGTGGCGTGCCGGTTATCTGTCGGCTGACAGGTGACGCATAGTTGGAAGAGGGGAACTTTTCTTTGCAATTACCGCTGATCCGAGCACTTGCAAATAAAGCTAATGCGTGGCCTCACTTGCCAACCAACCTCTCTCCCAGGATTTTTCTTTTTCCCTCCCCTTTTTTGCTTCAGGGGTTGTAAGAATAGAAACACTGGAAACAAGGCAGCCCGCCAACGAGCTCTCTACAGTGTTGTTGGATGGTATTCGAATGATAGCGTGGGGCGAAAGCGACCAGCTCTCACTGGACATCCACTCTTATGAATCGGGCGCACACGATCTTAAGACGGAGAATTAAGAATTTTCATGGCTCCTCCTATTTTCTCGAAAACACTGAATGTACTAAAACCTTTTAGGGACCTACTGTAGGATTATTCCAAATATTTCAGTTCATTAAGTTACTTACGAGCCTTTTTTGTTATAAACAACAAGGGGGTTCTAATATTATTCACAGCGAACTTAAGTGGAAAATAAGTGAAGATTTTGTTTCAGATCACTTTTATAATAAGCTAAAAGGTTTATTATCGATTTTTGTCTATTGAGCTTTTTTTTCGCAGCTTTTCTCGACAATGTATCAATCAGAATTGTTTTTCTTTAGGATACAGTGGTAGCTCTTCAAGCTTTAGCTATGTACAGTGAAGAGACCGCCGGTAACAACTTGGATCTGAGAGTGAAATTGTCATCAGTAATGGATGGAAACTGGAAACCACCGCCGGTACACATCACGCCAGATAACGCACTGCTGCGGAGACAATTCGATGTAAGGATTGCGAATGAGATACTTTACTTATAGAGAAATTTCAATGGAGGGTTTGAGTAAGCGAGAATTGCACTGTTTTGCGATGTGTCGCTTCGTGATTTGTGTAGTAGAAAGCTCGTTTCGCCTTTTCAAACGATGTGGTGTGCAACCGAAACCAATCGTGGCCTTGCCATTCGTGTTTTTTTTTTTTTTTTTTTTTTTTTCCCAACAAGGCAAAATTAAATAACGCAAATTCAAAGCGATCCCGGAACATTTCGGCACCAAATTGAAAATTGCTTTATTGGTGAAAATTGGAATCAAAACGCATATCGTGTTCAAGGGTCAGTCATTTTATGCGCAAAGTTAAACCGGAGAGTAAAGTTCATCTATGTGTTTCATTGCAGATCAAGCATCTCCTTGGGGGAGATCTCTTTGTCGACACTCAAGGAACCGGTGTAGGAATGCTGGAGGTAAGGTTAACAATTTATTCAGTGCCATAGTTTGCGGACTACACCAGACACAAAATGCGGAAAAAATAAGAATACAAGTTATAATACATCGGGACATGGAATGAAAATAATGAGCTTGACTCTTAGGAGTTTTTATGCGCCGATCATGACCAATTTGATGGCCGTGCGCGAAAATTGCTTTTGATTGATGAATTTGACGACATTCTAGCCCCCCCCCCTTTTTTTTTTTGCGATCTTCTCATTGGGTTACCGGTCACCTCGCCACCAAGCAGACTCGCCACCAACGAACTCGCCACCAAGGAACGATCTCGCCACCAACGTACTCGCCACCAAGCGAAGTCTTTTCGCCACCAACCACCAATAAAGAGATAAACTAGAATAAAGTAGTCGAGGAGAGTAGGATGTTCGAACGAGCACAATTCAAATCAGCCGATACGTTTGTGCGCTTGTCTGTATTTAAATTATGACCTTCAGCGACGTGTTAGATGTGTTCCGTTCCTAACTCATTGACATCGAAACGTATCGTGTTTGTCTTTTGCACGTAAGCGAGGAGAAATTGCAAAACTCGATGCGAGGAATAAAAACTTACTTGAGAGAAAATGAAACTTCATGGGAAGAAATAAGTGATGAAATGAAACTCGATAGCAGTTGTATTAAAACTAAACTTATCGGTTTCGAACGTGCTTTCGACAACATACGTTTATAAAGTTTGAGTACAGACAAGCGAACAAACTTATCGGTTTCGAACGTGCTTTCGACAACATATGTTTATAAAGTTTGAGTACAGACAAGCGAACAAACTTATCGGTTTCGAACGTGCTTTCGACAACATACTTTTATAAAGTTTGAGTACAGACAAGCGAACAAACTTATCGGTTTCGAACGTGCTTTCGACAACATACGTTTATAAAGTTTGAGTACAGACTTATCAGCCGAACATCCTACTGTCCTCGACTAATCTCTTTATTGGTGGTTGGTGGCGAGAAGACTTCGCTTGGTGGCGAGTACGTTGGTGGCGAGATCGTTCCTTGGTGGCGAGTTCGCTGGTGGCGAGTCTGCTTGGTGGCGAGGTGACTGGATACCTCTCATTGATTTGGCACTTCACCTATGTTCTCGCCTTTCGCTCAGCGTCTTTATACTGCAATGAGTTAGATAAAATGTACACTGTATGAGTAGAAATCCCGCAGGAAACACGAGTTTTTTTCGTAGGTTTAATTTGTTGATATAGATAGATATATATGGTGTGTCATTGTTATGAATACACTTTCACCATGAAGTATAATCGTTTGTCTTGCGATGTGGTCACTTTCGTTGTGAGTTGTTGTCAGCTATTAAAATGAGAGATGCGAGATGTTGTCAGCTATCAAAAAGTTTAAACAATCGACAATTTCTCTTATCTGAACCACCTTACGCGGTGAAAAAAAATCAACTTGAAATGCTTTGCTTGCCGCTTGAAAAGGAGACATTTTCATTTCCCTGCACCCTTTTCGCATTATTGAAAGAGTAAAAAATTGTCTTTAAAATTTGCGTTTAAATTTCAGGTTGAAGTTCGTTACAACGTTCCGTCGACTCGCGGCGAGAGTTGTAAGTTTGACCTAAACATCACAGTGAAAGAAATCAAAGAACCTAAAGTGGGCAATTTGTTTGGCCCTGTGGAAGATGAACCTGATGATGATAATGAGAAAGGAAAAAAGAACGACAAGGGAGGAATGATTCGGTGCAAGAAATTAAAAGGCAAGAAAGCGAAAAGAAAATGCAGAAAAGAGGAGAAAGAAAAGCAAAAGAAGAAGAATAAGAACAAGAGTAATAAAAACAAAAGGCCTCCGCCTAAACATCAGCCCGTGAAGAGCATTCACTTAAAAGTTTGTACTAGGTAAGTTTTCATTCCTCATTCCTCAATCCCCAGGCATTTCGTCAGCTTTCCCTGTCGGTTCACCCGTACCCATTTATACTCCCGGGTGGAGAGTGGCACTGGATGAGGGTGAAGTGTCTTGCCGACACATCTCTACACAATGACCCGGCTATTTCTCGACCTCAATGAAATTCCTGTAGGTCTGAAATGTTTCTCATTACATTTCCAGGTACAAAGAGAAAGGTAATATCGGAATGTCTATAATGGATATTGGAATTTTGACAGGATTTAAACCCGATCAGATCTCACTGAATAAGGTAGGTTGATGTCGACCTCGCTATCTACACAATCGGTAAGAAAATTAAAGTGCACTCAATTTGATTGTAATTGCCTTCTATCCTTCTCTTCGTTTATGTTTCGTATACATTTGATATTTTTGCTATTAATCCTCAAATAGGTTTTATTTAGTTGTCGCGGTTGTGACCGCCCTTCTCGTTTTTTGATTCAGTGTCTTCATTGCACTTTGGTTGTTGTTGTACATGAGATTGTTTCAAACTATGGTTCGCGAAACTGTCATCGTCGTGACAGCGACATCAATAAACCTGGAAAATCGCTGGAAAAAAGCTCATAAGGAAACGATTAAAATTTTCATAAAACCAAAGTTGGAGGAAAAAGTGTGTCATTTTGAATTAAAATTTTGAAAGCTTTCTTTCCTTTTAACAGTTGCAGGATATAGCTGAAGTGGATAAGCTTGAGGTCTCACACACCTCACTGGTTGTTTACCTCAGTGAGGTAAGATATGTAGATCAGTGAATATGAATCTCTACAAGCCTAGGTTTCCCTTTCATACAAGGAGGCACAGGGGGAAAGAATTAAAGGTGGCATTCATTTGTCGTCGTCGTCCCCCGCGTCTTCACCTCTATCTCGGGCAAAATTCTTTAAATTCAGGCGAGAAGCCAGTAGAGTACAGGAAGTACGCCGAAAATTCTGAATCTGTAAAAGACGTAGTAAATGGCGGTCTAGTTTGAGCTAAATCATCCAAGCTAGGTTCTACTTGTGATACATCTAGAGTACACCCTTGGCTTTGGTAGGCTCTCTTTTAAGTATAAGTACAGTCAAGCTGATTCTTCGGAGTCAACTGTATAGTCTTGATCGCGTGATTGAAGTTCAATACTGATTGTTTTGTATTCGCTCACTTCTCAAGCCATTGAATTCAATGCAAATTCTGTCGTTCTCTAAACGGAAGTCTTTTGCTAAACTAGAGTAGTTAAAGGAAGTGTTCTCGTTTTATTATCCTTTTCCCTATCCGTCTTTCTACTTGAGACACTTTTCTGGGTCCGTGACCATTGGCGCAGACCACATTAACATGACCATGTTACCATGTGGTCTCCGCAGTCGCTGTTCACTAGAAATCGTGTGTCTTCTTTCTGTTAGTTGTTTTGAAATATTAATAGGAAGTGATCCGTGTTATACTAGTGGCCTTATGATCATTTTTCATCGCAGATTCGCAGTGACCGTCCTCTGTGTGTAGATGTTCGGTTTGATAAAGAATATTATGTGGGAGTCGTGCAAGCGGTACCGGTGAATGTATACGACTACTACGAACCAGGTCAGAGTTTATTTAAAACTTAAATGGAATTGATATAAAGGTTATGTGTAATGCATTGTTGAATGTCAGGTTCAAGAGAAAAATATTTCATCGGAACTGGCCCTGGTTGTTCGAATGGTGGTGAACGCTATCTGCTGGATTAATCTCTATCCAGTGGATAGCACAGTTCGTTTTGTGAACCCATATCCGCTGGATAGCGGTTTATTCGTTGGATAGCTTTATCTACCTTTTGAACAACTGGGCTTTGATGTTTTGGTCTGGTTCGTTCCGGTTCTATTGTCATTGTTAAGAGGGTAAATACTCGGAGAAATTAGTCATGTTAAAGTTACTCGGAATTCTTAAGGAATTAAGTAAATATTTGTATACTTATTTGTTTGTTTGTTTGTTTGTTTTCATGAGTACAGATCAATCCTGCAGCAAATTTTATGGACCTGACAAGCACAGCCCGTTGAAGTTGGGAGTTTGTGAAGTTGGCTCAAGATCGTGCAAATGCACCCAAGGTGAGGGTTATTAGACAGAATAGACACCACTGTTTGAACGATTTTGTCAACATGTACGTCTGATGACATTAAAAATGGCTTAAACAACTTAGTAACTCAGCATCAAATTAAGCAATCATTCGAGGAGGGCGTTCAACTTATTCATTGCTGTAATTTTATTTCCCTATTCCAGATGAATGTGCTCAAAGAGATCCTCCTATTGGTGATGTGGACAAGCTGATTAATTTAGCTTGTGACAATTACAATTACGGTAAGATCGCCACTCCTTTTTAATTCGAAGCGTAGTACCTGCTATTATGATTCAGTATAAATCTATTACCGTTCTATCCCAAATGCTGCAATCTGATTGGCTACTCACTATCTATTCCGTGATATATAATGAGTAGAGTGAGTAGCCTAGCATTGTGTGGTTGTAAAGTAAACGAGATAAAAACACGAGCCTGTCCTGTTGTAAACATTTGCAAGGTAACTAGATTTAATCTAACCAATAGATTATTCGCTCCCGATTTCTATGCGTGAAAATTGATTCGGGCTTCGCCCTCAACAACAATTACTAGATAAAAATCTCAAGCTCACAATCTAGTTGTTAGAAAACACTCAGTTCTCAATTCAGAGGTTTGGATCGGTGTAAAAAAATATGGGACACTTCATCATGTGTTATATAGTGTTGTGCTCTGAAACGACTGATTGATATTCTATCTGAGCATTGTATGGTGGCTTGGGGTGTGAAACTCAAAATGTTACAGGATCTGCCTTCACTAGGGACTGTATTGATGAATAGTGACAAGCTTTAGAAAAAGTCAGAGAAATCTTGCGAGGTAGGGGTCGGTCGGGGACAACCGGCAACTTTTATGAGCACCTTAGTCGCTTTATGATACAAAAGTCGGGATGAGCCCACGAAAGCGGATAATGAAAACGAATTAAAGAGTTCAAAACGCTAGGCAAGGAATTTGATTCCCCTTTGCTTGTATAACGTATTCAATAATTTACTTACAGTTATAAAAGGAAAGGTTCTGCTGATCGATGAAGACGGAAGTATGCTAAACTACGTTGTCGAGGTTTTGCAAGTTATTCAACAAGGCCACAAGAACTTAAAGGTTAGACAGAGGATCGAACTCAAGAAACGTGGATCGTGCCAGAGTCCCGATATGAAGGAAAATACAGCGTACTTGATCATGGGATTGGATAAAGGGGGCAGGTACCAGCTGGACAAGACTGCGTTTGTTAAACTGTGGCCAGAGAAACGTGATCTCAACAAGGATATTTTGGAGGAGTTTGCTCAGAGATATGTCTGCCCTTAGTCTTTTGAACGATTATTGCCCATTTGATTAGTTTCGTCTACATTTTGCTAACTTGCTAAATAAAGACATTTTATCATTTCCAAATTGCTGTAAGCAGCCCAAAAGTAGAAGATTACTTGCTCCAGTTGCCTTATGTTTTTTGTAGACTAGATACGTTTCTTGCTGTGTTAGCAAGTGAGTTATTTTTAAGCATTAAAAAAACCTTCAAAGGCATGCGTAGTTTTTATTTCGTTATGAAGACTAACAGATAATTTGGCATAATTCATGTTAATTTAAATACATCCTGAAGGAATTCACATCGAAGAAAAATACAATGAGTTTCAAAATTGTTTGTTAAGAAGAAGTCTAGAAAAATCAAACAAACAAACGAACTAAAAAGAAAGAAAAAGAAATCAACTTGGACAATATCTGGTTGATCAATAACACATATATTAATTAAGGAAAGTGTCAGTTTATTCATGTTTAATAAACTAAATGCATTAATTCTTACCATCGTGGATTTTGTCTTATCAGAAGCCATAGACACAAAAAGGGGCCCAAGGGTTTTTATTTTTTTTCGGTCATCTTGCCTAGAGCTAAGAGCAAACGATTCATCCAGTTTGTTAGTTGGATTTCGACCAATAACTTCAGAGCACTATATTTTTTCTTAGTTACTGAGAGCGTCGTTTTCTTTCTCGATAATTTCAATTTCTAACATACAGGCATTTTCTTGGGGGTAATTTTCTTTGTCAGGGTAATTCAGTGTACGGGTTAAGTCCCTCAATTATTCATTTTCCCCCTTCCTTTTTCGAAATGTCAACAGCCCCTTTAGAGCTAACCTGCAGATATGATGGCATGCGCTCGAGGAAAAAATGGAAATAGATTGATGGGCTACCTTTTCCCGAAAGATTTCCAGGAAACATTAAAAAGCACCTTATAGCGGCCACTAAATAAGTTATAAAATTAGGTTGACAAGGTGATGTCTTTAAGTATAATGAATAAACTTTTCTGGAATAACGAAATGCTGCTACACGTTATTATGCAGCTGTTTCGAGAAAGGTCGGAAAAAAAACCGTAAAAATGCACGCAACATCTCGAAAGGTATTGTGAGTAGTTTTCAGGTCCTCAGGTTTCAAGGCAAACCTGAAAAAAAGCCAGTAAGGACGAGGCATTGCGGGTTGATAAATTTATTTACTTATTTATTTGTTTGACTTGTTAAAATTTATTGATTACTGTATACTCAGATTACCCCTCGAGATTGTTCCGTGCTCCTTTGTCCTTTTTTTCTGACAACCTTTCTCGGAACAGCTGTATACCGAAAAGTTAGCCTTTGACTGGTCGCTTTTATAGGGCGATGTAGGAACGTTTGGCAAGTGTGTTCTTCCATTAGCTGTCATCAGAAGCCTGTTATTAGGTTGTGTGCTTTTGCTACAGATTTCACTTCAATGTCAGCCGAAAAAACAAATAAAAATGACTACGAATCAAGTAACCGTTGTCTTGGTAAATCTTGTCGCAAGGGAGAGATTTTTCTTTTTGAATATATCAAGTAACACAAACCGTGCCTAGATTAAGAAGGTACTGGGAACCACATATCCTGCTATTCAAGATGGCGATCGCAACCTCGAGCATGGTTTGATTTGGAAGAGTGGTTAACGCGTTTACTTTGCACAAATGGCATTTTTGCTTGCCACTGGCGACGTTTCAATGTAGGAAAAACTCTTTCAGTTGCTTTGGTGCATTAAACAACCACTTGACGAGACAACATCCTGAAATGATGGAGATTTGATTCTCGTTCAAACGTCTAGTTGCGGTAAGCGAAAACTGGTTTCTGCAAATTTTTCTCTCAGTGTGGATTTTTTCTCTTTTTTTAAGGGCAGAGTCGATTGGTCTACGAAGGTTACATGCTCTAAATATGTAGAGCTTGCAATGTTTCATTTCGGCAATGACAAAACGCTGACCGACCCACTTATTATTATTGACCCACACTAATCACGAGTCAACATAAGGAATTTCGGAGAAGTCACATTTGCTTTTACAAAGGCTCACCGTTACATTTCCATTATCATCGCATGAGTTTTTACTACCTAGGCACTCTATGATCACTTCATTTGTTTAAAATACTAGTGGACCAGCTTACTGAGCTGAACAGATCTTGAAGTGTGGATAAGAGATGACTGATAGCAGATCGCAATAGAGTCGCCTTCATCCATTAAGTCACTTCCTCAGTCTTGATCAGGGATGCTAAGGCTTGGTCCACCAAAAAACAAAGAGAAGTGTGTGAAAACTGTTTTGGAAACTGGACTGTCTTATTGCGCTGAACAGATCTTGAACTGTGTAAAAGAGATGGGTTACTAACAGCTGACCTGTAATGGAGTCTGCTTCACCCATAAAGTCTCTTCCTCAGTATTGATTTGGGGTGCTAAGACTTAGTCCACCAAAAAAAAACGAAGAGAAGTGTGTGAAAACTGTTTTGGAATCTGGACTGTCTTGCTGTGCTGAACAGGTCTTGAACTGTGTAAAAGAGATGGGTGACTGACAGCTTACCTGTAATGAGTCTGCTTCACCCATAAAGTCTCTTCCTCAGTATTGATTTGGGATGCTAACACTTAGTCCACCAAAAAACAAAGAGAAGTGTGTGAAAACTGTTTTGGAATCTGGACTGTTCTGCTGTACTAAACAGGTCTTGAACTGTTTACAAGAGATGGGTGACTATTGGTGACCTGCAATGGAGTCTGCTTCATCCATAATGTCTCTTCCTCAGTCTTGATTTGTGATGCTAAGACTTGGTCCACCAAAAAAGAAAGAGGAGAGTGTGAAAACTGTTTTGAAAACTGGACTGTTTTACTGCACTGAACAGATCTTGAACTGTGTACAAGAGATGGGTGACTGACAGCTGACCTGTAATGGAGTCAGCTTCACCCATTAAGTCTCTTCCTCAGTCTTGATCTGGGATGCTAAGACTTAGTCCACCAAAAAAACAAAGAGAAGTGTATGGAAAATGTTTTGAAAACTTGACTGTCTTGCTGCACTGAACAGATCTTGAACTACCTTAGTACAGAGTTTAACAAATGGGAGAACAGTACTCCAGCCCATGGACACTAAGTAGGTACCTTGTCTCAGTGAGAAACATTACAACTCCCTAGTCACTTTGCCAGAATAAAAAATAATTTGTGTAAGCAATATGATTTTTTTTTGCATAGAACAAAGGTTAAGCCAATTTGAAAGTAACCATAATGATTGAATTTTGAGATGTTATTTCCTTGTTTTTATTTCTGGGTTCAATTATCATGTTGGGGTGCAGTGGACACTGAAGTACATGGAGGACATATCTGATTAAAATGAACAGTAAGTTATTTTTTGTTATTCTTTACAGCAATTTTAAGTGCCAGGTTTTCAAAGTAATGTAAGGTTTTGCAGGTGTAAGTTACTTTATTACACCATGCTTTGTGAGTGGTTGAAAACCCTTGAACCACCTCCACCAATAAGCTGTAAACCCAAAATCAATGGTATTTTTGCTCTGTCACAAACAGTTACACTGTATGTTGATTTAATTCAAATTGTCATAGGATCCGTTTTGGGCTTTGGTTCAGGTAAAGCAATCAAAAAGTTTATTCATTTACCACTGATGACTGATGCATGTGTTTTATTACAATTTTTTTTTTTTTTGGGGGGGGGGAGGACAGAGAATTAATGTAAATTGTTTAAAATGTTCTCGGCATATTATAGACCATTTAGAGGGGATTAGTTCGGTCAATTTGTGCTCAGTATGTCCTGCTGGCCTCTAAGAACCCCCTACCCTATTATGGTCAATTCTGTGCCTATACCCCATCTCAGTCACTCTAGGGCAAATTTAATTTTTGGAATCCCAACTTAATGACTTTCTGTTTACACATCTACCTGATAAAGCCTTCTCGTAAGTCACAGGGGAATTTTGTTCATTATTCGAAAAACTACGCAAATCGCCTATTTATGTGTCGACCAATTCAATGTTTCAACACCCCCCTTCGGGCAACCCCCTAGACACGTAAACTTTTGCAGATTGACTCGTTTAAATTCTCCTCCCCTCCCCCCGGACAAAGTTGCGTTCAAATGCCCCACTTAATTTTGAACGATTTTTTGTGTGATCAACGAATATTATAAAAATTTAGCAAAGTCAAGTATTAGTTCTTTTGTTGGCGGGTTTTTATTTCTTGTAAGCATCATTGTATGAGGTGAAAATGGTCTTACGCTCATGAAAGCAAACTCTTTACCTTCAAGCTCCTCCAATAAAAAACGTTTATTAGGCTTGAAAGACCAGTTCAAATGCCCCTGTCCACCCAAGTAAGGTTCAAATATCCCATCCTCCCCCGGGTACACACAACAGTCAAATGCCTTTGGGTTGCCCGGGGGGGGGGGGATGTCAGAGTTGCATCATAAATACAGTCCAGCATTTTTGACAGAAAAAACTCGCATATTGAACCACTACTCCATATCGAAAACAGACCAATGTTATGGAGTAATTTGAAAAATCACCTTAGTGCCGCTGACTTAAAGGATTAATGATCCAAATTTAGAATTCCGATGTCGTCAAGGGAAAACAGCTTTGTGAAAGCGAAAAAAGGGTTAATACTGGTCTTCGCGATGCTTTCAGTTTGTCATAACGTACACCTAAAAAATTGTTTTTATCTCTTTCCATGGTTGCGACACCCCTTTAATTAAGGTCATGCCAATTTCACCTTTTGTTTGCAGATAACTAGCAACAAGGTATACAGAACGCATATTGTCAAAAACTGGCAATTTAATTTTTACACATGCACAAGAAATGTAGACTTCTTTTCGCGTCTTTACGTCGCAAGAGAAGCCTTATTACAGATATTTCGAAATCAGTTTTTTTTTATAAAGAAAATGGTAAAACGAACAAATTTACGCACAATTCAGCTTGCATTTGGACCTTCATTTGGTTGTCATGCATTAAAACATTGCGCCAAATGACCAAACATAGTGAAGGGGGCGAAAAGTTAAGATGAAGAACATGTGTTCCTTTTGTTAATTAGCCAATTCACTTGTTATTGTTGAGGGAATCAAAATTTGCATGTTTGCATACTCCTTACCTTCAAGGTGAGTATTAGGAAGTGAAGACGAAGTCTGAGAAATGCGGTGGCTTTGGTGACAGTTAGAAAGTTTTCGAATGAATATCGGGAGAAAACTGGATTAAGTTCTTATCCTTATTTTGTCCTGTGTGTTCATCGCAGAAATTTTCCAGAAGCCAACCACCTCATTGTGCGACCGACAAGACTCGCAAATTTGAACAAAACCTTCTTGGATTATTTCTTATTTGTGAAGTCAGTCTGCAAATTTAACTTTAATGATGAGTTATTTTATGGAAAAACAAGCGGATTCAAAATGTATTTCACCTCTCCTAGTTTCTGTGTAATTGAATGGTAATTTTTATTTGTTGTTATATTTTAGATGTCATTTAAAGCAAATTATTTTTAATTAGGGCCAGCTAGGACGAAATTTTTTAACACATCTTGCATTTTTCATTTCTTTCCAATACAGCGGAGTTTGCGATCTGAAGAGGTCAAGGAGACTAGGATACATAATATTACTGGTGAGTATAACTGTTGTGGTAAATTTGAACGGAAATTATAATTCTTCACGATATGAAGCCGCCTACAATATTTAAGAAAGTGGGTAATTCATTTATTTCTCTTTATTTCGTAGGTATCTCTGCTCAAAACAACAAAGAAGTTTGTGGCTTGTGGTTCACTTAGATAACGTAAAGTACGGACGGGTGTCCTTGTTGTATTGGGGAAAAATTAATTTTAAGTCTTTGGCGGGAGACTTTTGTATGGCTCATTTGAAGCTCTCTCTATCTTACTTTAGATGTCATGAGAAATGACCATATCAGGCAAGAGACCAAAGAAAAATGTCAACCATGGAATGACCGAGAAATTGGGGGTCGAGAGAGAGAGAGGCAAGAGACCAAAGAAAAATGTCAACCATGGAATGACCGAGAAATCGGGGGTCGATCCGCCACCGTCCCCCACCACACCCGCCTCTTATATACAGTTGTTTTGTAATTTGAGACAAGTTCAACATTGTGGTACGACATATCGTAATAAGCATGTGTCTTACAATACGCATGTGTTCTTAATAAAGATTTAGTTTTACCACAAGGATGAACTCGTCTTAAATTACAAATCAACTGTCTATAAGAGGTGGGTGTGGTGGGGGACGGTGGCGGTTCGACCCCCGATTTTTCGTTCACTCCATGGTTGACATTTTTCTTTGGTTTCTTGCCTGAGATGGTCATTTCTCGTGACAATCACTTGCACTTAAAAGTGGACAAATAACTTTTATAGACAGAGCCTTAGGAAAGGCAGACCTTTTCTTTTTTCTTTATTTAACACACAATGTGGATCAAAGTTTTCAAATCAAAACTCATTCAATCTACATAGTGGTGCACGCGATAGTTTGGAATGTTAGCAAATTACTCCTTCTTTTTCACGTTGCTACCTTCTTGAACCTTTCATTTTCGTCTTCCTTCCTCTGTCGATGTGAAAGAAATTTTAAAACAGAAATGTAATCAATAGCTTTTTCCCGTCATATGTAACTGGCAATAAGTCAATAAAATATATGCCAAGTACAAGTGCACTGTATATGATAAATTAAAAACACAGTGAATCTTTTAAGAAGCCGGAAGAGGAAAAGTAAGCGATGACACTGGAGCATTTAACATTTGTGATCTATTGTATAACAATTTACTACTCAACGAAACTGAAAATACTTGCCGGTGCAAGTTACCGAAACAGGAAACTTCTTCCAAATAACAACGATTTCTGTCTTGATAACATATCTATTATGATCACCATTCTCTTCTTCCTTGAACGTCCTTATAACCTTGACTACCTGAAAGACGCATTTACGCATCTTCTTGGAATTCGATGACACCATATCAACGCTGAAGAAGAGACCGCGAGCCACTCGCCAAAATTTAAAGACAAATGTAAAGCCACATAGTTATGAGTGTTTCCTCGGCGTTATTGTCACGACTGCGTAAGGTCCTTCATAATAACGACATGTCCTAACAATAACTACATTTTCATCGCAATCAGGCAAACTAGGAAAACTGAAATCTGTATATGGCAAATTTAGATGATAACCCGCCTTCCATCGGTTCAAGTAAATTGTAACTGCAAATATTTCTCTCGGAAACAGGAACGTAAACATAACACTTCTACGTCTATTACATAGAATTTCACTCAAATCCCAATCACAGTAAACAAAAACATACTTGGCCTTCCTTCCTTCCTTCTGTTAGACGTTAAGCATTCTTGAGCGTATTTTCTTCTGCTATGCTTCATTACAAAATCTGAAATAAATCGGAGAGTGGAAGAATGTCAAAACCTTTAAACTCAAAACATTCATCTAGAGAAAAGGGAACGGAAAGATAAAATACCAGAGTAAAAAAGCTAACGCAAATGGAAGACTTCAAAGTAACACATTACCATACAACAACATTGAAACTATTAAAAAACTGTTGAAAAAAACAAACCACCAATAACACTTAAGCAAAAATAAAACAACATATTATCAGACATAGTTTGAAGCTACACTGGTTTGCAGATTTAATGAATGTAACCGAAGAAGTTACAATTCATAGACCCAACGTTTCGACACTCCTGTCTAGTGCCTTCATCAGGGGTGATCTAAACGCTGCAACAAGAGGTCCTTTTATATGATCACTAATTAGCGGCCTTTTTTCTGACGAGGTGTAAATAGGCGTCAGGAAGCAGACCGCCATCGTCACGATTTAATTTTAGAATTATCCCACCCAATTGTATGGTTGGTTTTGCTCCGATAAAGAATTTTCCTTTTTGCGAAAAACCGCTTTTTTGCACCGTGTACCAAACTGGCGTTTGGTCTGTCCGATGTATTCGTTATCACAGTCATTGCAAGGAATAGAATAAATGGCGTCGGTTCGTTGTTCTTTCGTGACAGGATCCTTAGGTTTGGCGAAAATATGCCCCAAAGTCTGAAAAGGTTTTTGAGCAACTTTAACGTTGTGGCTATTCAAAATTATCTTGATGGGTTCGGTAAAACCTGGAATGTAAGGGATAACAGCAAAACCAGTCGCTGGTTCCCTTTCATTAAGAGCGTTACTAGTTGTAACTGGTTTTTGGCAGTTACGGAGAAAAGTTTTTGTATAGCCATTTGCTTTTAGGACATTGGAAACATATTTCCTCTCTTCAGCCTTCGAATCGAGTGATGATGGTAGACAATCAGCCCTCCTAAGTAAAGTTTTGGCTACAGACTTTTTATGGCAAATAGGATGGTGAGAATCAACTTAAATCAACATATTATCAATTAACGCGTGATATGAATACGATTAATCGCGTTCCCAAACTCCTTTAAATTCGCCAAAACTATTCTCTCATTCTTTGGAGATGCGATTGCACCGTGAATAGCAATCCTGTCTCTGTTTTTCTGCGCAAATCAACTTAAATCAACAGCACCAAAATAAATACCTCTTAAAATATCGCTGGTTCTGTTTTGATTCGAACGAAGAGAAAACAAATGGGAAAAGAAAAATTTCACAAAATGTTTTTTTTCACCAGCGTCGAGATGAACGGAATTGTAGTTAAGGAACATTGACTATCACAAATTTAGCATGAGAATCAATATTTCTCTTGCTAATTAATCACATCAAAAAAAAAATTAAAGGTAGCAGTGACTGGTATAAATATTACACGAAAAAACCTACTATTTAGCGCGCGCTGTTTTTCTAGATTCGGAGGTGATTTGTAAAGTACTATTCGTCCTTGAGCTGACAAGAGAAACAAAATGGCGTCCCCTTCACTTAGGTTCCCGCCGTGGACATTGAACCAATAATAAAAGACAAAGCCACATCCAAAGATAAAAAAAATGGCGTCAAAGTTTGATTTTGAGTAATTTGTAGATAGGTTCTTACTCTGTCAAACCTCAAATTTTTTGGGTAGTATCAAACTACAATGTCTTGTTTATGAGAATTGGACATCATTATAGCAACAATTTCAGGAATGAAACAAACTTTTAACAATATGAATTGAACAACAAGACGAAATGCACTCATCTATTGAAGGAATGACAAAAAAACAACCAAATCAGAGCCTCTTAAGCTTTCATCTTCGTATAAAAGCGTGAAGGAAATTTCTACTTTATAAAAGTTTATATGTATTTCGCAGAAAGTGAAATTTTAAAATTTGCTTGCGAGCTTTTGACAAAAAGAAAGTAAATTTTGTTCAATTAGCTATTCAGCTTGGGTGATGTCTATCAAAACAATAAGCATAATTATTAATTATTCTCTTCGAGTAACAATACAACGTGACTACAGTGAAACAAACTGAGTGTCAAATTTATCATACACGCTAAAAGTAATCTTAGGATACTTTTTCAAGCATTACTCACCTGTTTCTGTATGACAAGAACATCAGTTTGCGACTTTTAATCCACCCTTATATCAATTGAAATCAGGTACAATTAGTCTCTTCAGGCAATCCTCTCTTTACCTGAAAGACATAGGCACAAAATAGTTTCTCATCAGCTGTGCCTCTCAATAAGTTCAACACATTTTAAAATAGCAAGCCGAGGAAGCATTGTAATTCTCATGGCTTGAATTCACTGCACTTGGAAATTGAGCTTCTCCAGTTATACTTAAAAATAGTCATCTTTCTTAAATCTGAAACACATAAAAAATGTTTGCACACCTACTGCTTGCATTCCCTTTCCTGTTTTTTTTTTATCCTTTCAGTTTGAGTCTTGCTTTGTATCATTGCGTTACATGCATGGATATAACTCATTTTGGCTTTTTCAAAAACCACAAGCTATGAGCTAAGTATTATCCAAATTTGTCCTTTCGAGCATTCAAACAATCAATGGATGTCAAATGACCCTTAGCAGTTAACTTTTACCATTTTTCATTTAAGTCAGTCAGTCAGTCGGTTAGACAGTCAGGTGAGCAGGTAGTCAGTTAGTCAGTGGATATTACTAATTTTGGCTTTTTCAAAAACCACAAGCTATGAGCTAAGTATTATCCAAATTTGTCCTTTCGAGCATTCAAACAATCAATGGATGTCAAATGACCCTTAGCAGTTAACTTTTACCATTTTTCATTTAAGTCAGTCAGTCAGTCGGTTAGACAGTCAGGTGATCAGTCAGTCAGGTGATCAGTCAGTCAGGTGAGCAGGCAGTCAGTTAGTCAGTCAGTCAGGCAGGCAGGTAGGCAGGCTATCAGTCAGTCAGATAGTCAGGTAATAAGTCAGTCAGTCAGTTGGTTAGACAGTCAGTTAGTCAGGCAGGCAGTCAGTCAGTTAGTTTGTCAGTCAGTCAGGCAGGCAGGCAGGGAGGCAGGAAGGCTGTCTGTCAGTCAGTCAGTCAGTCAGTCAGCAGTCAGTCAGTCACCTGGCCAGTCAGTCAGTCAGTCTACCAGTTAGTTACTCAGTCAGTCTTTCTGTGAGTCTACCTATTTGTCAGTCAGTCAGCTGCTATGTCAATTATTGAACTAGACAGTTGATCATACTGCAGGTAATTGATCTGGTCAGTTGGGGACAGCACATATTGAGGGTGGTATCTAATTTAACAAAGTAATGCTCCTACTTCCAAAAACTGATAACAAAGAAATGTTCACAATAAATCAGAAACATGCTCAAATCACCATTCACTGTCTTCTCTGACTGTGAAAATAAGCTTGTGCTTTGCAACGGCTTGTTCTACCATTCAAAATAATCATTGTGAATGCCCCCTTTTATTTCAACCACCTGACAATAAAAACGTTGTTTGGTAGGAAAATAAGTTTCAACGCTGCTTCACACAAAGTGGTACCCTGGAAGAGTACTCTCAACAGTGGCACTTCTTTGCAGGCAGCACTTACAAAATTTTAATTTTTGATTAAAATATTCTTGCCCCCAAATCTGCTGATTCTTTAAGTGCAGAGATTTATTGAGCAATTCTCCTTACTGTGTGCCATATAGTTCTTGTAATGTTAGTTTGGAGAATTTGGTATTGGATCAACTAATCCCTAATTGATTTATGTTGTTATACTCATTACTTGTCTATTCCATACTGTGATGATATTGTAAGGAGAAATTCTGTCTTGGTCACTCATGCAAGTTAAAAGGTTAAGTGCATGAAAGTGACTCACTATAATATATGCCAAAACTAGAAAGTTGTTCTTTACTGATTATAATTCTTGTGGCATAAAACTTGACCACCTGATCATGTTGTTATATTTGTTTATAATTGCCCTTACACTAGTACAGGACTACTATTGATAAAGACATACAAACTTTCCAGAATTTTTGACCTTCACCATAGATCAAAACATTGATTCCCTTATCCCATACTCTTGAGAAATCTCTGTGCTATTTAAATTTAAAAGCCATAATTACTGTAAGAAGCACATTGCGACCTCATTGCAATCACGAACAATAACTGACTCTGACTTGTGGAAATCATGTTGTGTTTAATTGTACTTATATTACAGGGCCCAGTTGTATAAAGAGCAGAGAATGCTATCCAATGGATAAATCACTATCCAGCAGATAAGTGATAGAAAAACATATAGCGTTATCCACTGGATAGAATTCTATCCAGTGGATAGCAATGAGAGGGACAAGCTTTAGAATCCATTGTCAGGTCTCTCAAGTTTAGGATCTCGGCTTAAAGCCGAGCTCAGCTAATAGGTTGGTATTAATACAGCATTTTCATTTGTTGACAACAATGCACCAACACAAGACAACTTAACATTTCCTAAAGCCTTTCTACCAGAGAACCCATTTACTAATATTGCCTCTAATGCATCCTTGTAACAGATCCTTAATATGTAAAATAAAACATGATGCTTACTTGCACTAAAAAAAGCATTGTGGGGGAAACAGTGGTCTGGCACTCAGGTGCCCTGGACTCAAGGTCCACTCTACTCTCAAAGCGCCTCCAGAATGAATAGAATTGGTACAGAAAAATGTCAAGGAAGGCTCTGACAAAGTGCAAAGGCAGCCTGAGCATTCTGACTTACAAGCCAACTTAGCCCTTTTTAACCAACCTATAATCTCAGGCCACCTTACAAACATACATTTTCTGCACAAATGGTTGTCCATTCAGCTACAGTTTCACCTCTGATATTGTTAGGTAAACTTTCTTTTCACACAACTTTAACCCTTTAACTCTTAAGACATAATTGTTAATGCTCCCCTGTAGTTGCTACACATTTCCTTGTAAATTAGTTATGAGGACTTGGTGCTAGATCAAGATAACAGCTTCTACTTGATAAGTTCAAATATTCTCATTACCAGTTTGCTGAATAATGTATGGATATTATAAGAAGAAGTTTTGTGTTAATCACTTCTGGGAGTTAAAGGGTTAAACCTTAACCCAAGAAGTTCTGTTACTGAGTCAAGTCTCACCTGAAAATATTCCATAACTGAGAGTGCTAGTTGCTGTCCTTCATTAAATGGAAGTCTTCCTTCTCTGCAGGCATATCTTATAACTACCTGAAAAAAAGAAATAGAGACCTTGAAAAAATTTCCCTAACTAGCTTAAAAATAATAATTTTTTATTATTTGTATCCTTATTCCTTCTATTAATTAAGGTCCAAAAATCTCTGATATAGAGAAAATAATCTGATTGAGTTAATGGAAATTTTGTCTTTAAGTGTTGATTACTTGTCTCTAACAAATGAACAAGGAAAACATTAGTGAGATATAACACATGAAAACAGTCTTGTATCCAAATGTCAACAGGTACTGTTTTCTTCAATGTTTCCTGGGAATATTTTAACATGAGAAATCAAAATGTAATAATATTTGAAAAAAATTAGATGTAAGGATTGAATGCACATCGAATCAGCTCAAGGAAATTATACTAATTCTTGAATCAATTTCTTTTCCTCAATCCAAAAAGGTAAAAATTCAATCTTAGTCAAGTTGTTACACCTTCATATAAAATGTTACAGTATAGCGGTAAATTCACTCTGCACACAAATGTTATCTTGTTTTTGAAACTGGAAATTCTGGGATTTCATGAATTGTCACTATCCATTCATCTCGGGAGAAGGTACCTCTTATAATAATATAGTCATGATATGGATACCCATAAACACATTTGGCCCATTGAGAAAAGGGGATGTTTCTATGGTGAAAGTGACATATGTTACACCTCAAGTGACACAATTGTTAGTAACATCAGGCTTTCTTTCCTTCAACAAATATACATTATTGACCAAGTGTGAGGTCAGGATGACTGCATATTGATCACATTCTTTTATGCAATTTTCGGCACAGTACAAAGTTGAGGTATATAAAAACAGAACAAAAGAACAAAAGGCCCATGTAGCCTACTTGGATAGCATATCAGGATGGAGGATTCGCTTCATGTTGCCCTTGGGAACAGGCAGAGATATAATAACAAGAGTAATTATCCTGAAATAAAATTTGCAGTATGTACCGAACATATTTGGCCCATATCAACATTTACCTTGCTGCTGTACAGAATGTTTTAGGGTTTATAGACTTTAAATTCTGTTTGCCACTTGAAGAAGGATGTAATAAAACTGGTACGGATGAAATATATTTTTGTTACTTGTGGGGTATCTGGTCATTCTGCCTAAGAGTCAAACCGCCCAAGACCTTTCCACTCGAACTTCGAAGTCATTACGCCCAATGTATATGTCACCTCATCTATGAGTTGTGTAGAGTTCTTTAAAATGGTATCTTAAATAAAACTAGTGTTTTATGAGTTTTGTAACGAAATACATGAATGGTTCAATATTTTTTTCTGAGTTATATACTGAATCGGCAGTAAAATTCGTCTCAGCTACATTCCGTTCACTGTTTGCATGACTGCCATAAAAAGCATAACTTTAACAAATTTGGTATCCCATTCTTAAGCCTGTAGAATCATTTCGTTTCCATGGTAGTAGCATTTTCAGTGAAATATCTAACAAAACCTGACATTTTATTCAACTGATGTCACAACTGACTTTTGGCTGAAATATTTGACCTTGATGTGTCTATTACATAGCAAATGATTTCACTCTTGATCGCAGAAGTTCCAAAGAAGTTAAATAATCCAGCGGTGGAATGGGCTGTTGTTTTGATAACACGGTCAACAAATATCTACAGACATTATTAAAAAAATTTTAAAAATGGAATAACAGCCTAATCTTTGTAATTTGATACACTATTTGTTCGTCGGGCTGATCGACTTCCATTCTCGAGCGGAACGACCGCAGTTCGCTTGTGGAAGTCAATCCTCAAAGTCCAGTTAATAGATGGTTTTTCAATTGATGATATGAAGACTAAATTCAACAATAATGTCAGAGTCGTAAAGATGACGTGCACGTTTGTATACTTGAAGATGACTTGTGTGTAATATTACCTCTTACAGTTGATATTAGCTTTAATTCGTTAACGTTTCATGATATTTGTATGATTAGCATCAATCTACCTTTATCAATCACCACAAAACTAGAATTCACACTAAACTAAACATTACGATACATGCGCGGCCAAACATAATACGCTTAGAGAAACAAACGCAAGCCGTGAAAATTATTTTCCTCAATCAAACGTGGATAAAGACGCCTTCTTTCAAAACACTCATACCTAAAAATTAACTTGCGACATCTTAGGACAAGCTAAATCGTATCGTAGAAGGAGAATATAAAGTTACATAATTGGTTTAACGTTTAATTTGATCAATAACATTGTGGATGAGGTTGAGTTTGAACTGCCAATTTTTTTTTAATCAAATTACCTTTAGTATTTGACGATGCTGAGTTACGCACCGTATGTACGCCATCCTAACTACGTGTAAGTGAGTAAAACAGCTCAGCCCATGTTCACCACGACTATACAACCAAACTAAATCCTGGCTGGGTCTCGCTAGATTTGCAAATAGACAAACAAACATTCGCAGAACAAGCTACTCTCGCAAAGATGCGCGGGTAAAACACTGCACCTAACCTACCACCCCATAGTATTGGAAAAGTTCGAGGCACATAAAGTTAAAGTGACTTCGTCATTCGGGAGCTAGAGGAAAATATTTTGTACTAGTTATCATTCAGTTACGTTTGCTGGTTGGCATTTGTTTCCCATCGTTTTTGCGAGGGCGAATCGAAGTTAGAAACACGGAGGAATAGGATTGAAGGGAAGAATAGTGTCGCAGAAAAAAATAAGGAAAAAGAGGAAAGAAATAACTGAGGAAATAGACAACGGAAAGCGGGAGGTGGGAAACAGAAAACATGAAAGGGAAGACTGCTCGGAAAATAGAAGAAGAGAAACAGAGGAGGACAGGAGAACAAACGAACAGAGAAACGTAAAAAAGAGAGAACAGACGAGCAAAGAAACAGAGGAACAGACAAGCAGGAAAACAGAGAAGAGACGGGAGAATATGAGAAATGGGAATGAGGGAAGTGTGGTGCTAAAACTACAAGTCAGAAGAAGACAGTCCGGTCATTTACGAGAGAACTTGACGATTCTCCGTCTCATCTAAAAATTTTGGCAAAGATACTTCAAAATAGAGTTCATCACGGTCAATAAATGCACGCACCACACAAAGGTTATCAGTGACAATCTTGGCCAAGGGAAGCAATCTAAATACATTAGAACCGATGTATGATTGTTAAAACCATGAACTGTATTTTAGGTAAACCCTCTTAAACTTCACCGAAAGCAGATAATAAACGTTTTCTTACTGTAAAAGCGTTTTAATTTCTAACTCTGGTTTTCGACGCTTCGACAAAATTCTAGTGCCTAGGCTTAAAGCTTCAACTCTGCCTTGACGTCATGAAGTGACGGCACAAATACGTTGCTATGCAATTAGTCATAAACAAATCGAAACTTTATTTTTGCATCAAGAGCTCGGTTCTTACTGAAGCAAAGTGAAGGAGAATATATTTTTGTGTTCTTCGAAAGATATCAATTCCAAAATGAACAATAACATCTCAGAGGACATAGAGTCCATGAAGGAGTCCTGTTCTGCGAGAAAATTTGATGAAGAAGCCAATGAAACGAATCGTTCCACCGAGAGTTTTTATGAGCCTTTGGAGGCCTCACGTGGAGCACAGATCATGTTTAATGAGGTGGGCGTTTCCTGAGCTTTAGGCCTCTTTTCGTTTTCGCTTAAGTCATACATTTAGGACAACTAAGTTAGAATTTGTTATTAGAAGGAGCATGAAGAAAAAACTTCAGATAGTTTTTTCGCGGACGTGTTAGTAGACCTCATTCAATATGTAAGCTGTGAAAAAGGTCGTCAGGGGTTCAGTTTGAATGAAAGTCGGTTCCCTTCAAATTACACTTGGATAAAAGTCTGTCTATTTTGGGGAAGAATTCAGAAATTCCAAATTGTTATTGGAAGGAGCATGTAGAAAAAAGTTTCTGTGATATTTTTGCAAACGCCGCCGTGCAAATAGACCTCATTCAATGCATAAGCAATGGAAATGGGTTGCAATTGGTTTAATTTAAATTGTAATTTTTTCCCTCCAAAATAAGTTCAGTTTTAACCCTGTTCAACATTGAAGAAAAACAGTTCAAGAAATTCGAACCTTTTTTTGCATTAAATGTGATCAGGCAACTGACTTTGAAAACATTTCTTCATAAAGAGATTAAAAAGCGCGCGCAGCTAAAGTTCTCAGATTATGACGCCACTCTTCGACATTCCAGTATCATTCCACTGTACGTTTGTTATGTTTAGTGTTCTCAATTTTCTTGTTCACTTCTAATTTCTTTAATTCAAAAACACTATTTTTGACAAATTTTCTTCCAGTCTGCGAGAGAAAAGGAACAACTAACGAGGAAGATCATCCACCTTGAAACAGAACTTAACGGTTAGTTTGAAGAAATGACGCATGTGGGATAAGAGAAGTGCACGCGGAAAGGGAAATCATTTATAACCCATTTAACTAAGGGGTGCCGAAGCTCAACCGTGGGCTGTTGACAATAAATATTCCCCAAAATCCCTGCTTCTCATTTCGTTCGAAACAGTTCCGTTTTTTTTATGTTCTCCCGATTTCCCCTATCACTCAAAACTTCCTTTTAATCTATATTTATTACAATTATTTGTAATACCCACTTTTATTTCTTGTACTTAAACAGTTAAAAAGAAGGAGATCTCCTTTCTTAAAGAAGCTCTCTTTGGGAAAGATAAAGAGAATTCTGATCTCAAAGAAAAACTGTCCCAGCTACAACAAAGCTGCCAAAGAAGTCAGTTGGATTTTGCCGAGCAAATGGCGGCAATGGATGAAAAGCTACAGGAGGCAAGGAAGACTATCGACGAGCTCAAGGGTGGAGCAAATTTAAGTGTCATGAGGAATACAACAAAGTTAGAAGAATCCCAAAGCGGGCTACAATTTTTTAATGGTGAGTATGTTACTTGAAATGGCATTTCCATAACCATATTTAGTCTCCAAGCATGCCCAGGGAAACATTGATGGGAAGAGGACAAGGGGTCTGCATCATCGACCACCGTAAAAAACAATTCAGATA